ACCCTTGACTCAGTTGACCAATAGGCCTCACTGCCTGGACAGCAGTCAACATGTAAGTGAGAGTTACTGCTGGCACACCACAGCAGGTGGGTTGCATATGGCGCTTATTCACCAAGGGAGACCAGATGCTTCCACGGACCCATTTAATCAGAGGTGTTATAGAAGTGCCACACATACACAGAGTATTTAGGAGACAGCTTTTGCTAGCTCCAACCATTTAATGTTGAAGGAGGTGTGGTGGCGGTACTTTTTATAATGGAAAGCCTGAATAAGAGATGTCTGTGGGCCCTAGGTGAAGGACATTGCCCAGGGCTGTGGGTAGCTTTCCACACAAATGGCTCAAGTGCTGTCTGCCTAGTTCTCTCTGGGCTTCCACTGCTGGAGACCAGGTGCTGGGCTGGCTGGATGCTTGCTGATCTGGCATGGATGTTCCTACAATGGTAACTTAGCTCCTTTACAGGAAATAAATGCTATTGCTTCCCCTACCCTGGCAATTCAAACAAGTGAATAATGCCAGTGGATTTGGGAAGATGGAAGTTATGAAAAGTCAGTTTCACACAATAGAAAACCCAAAGGAAAACAGTTTTGAAAAGGAGAGTTGGTGGGGGGGAATTTTGCTGGTTTGTTACTTTCTTCCTTTTGGATATTGTTGAAAGTAGTTGGAGTTGAAGTTTGAATGAATTGAATAGAGAGACTCTCAGCGCTTGGCAGAATTGAGTTCTTAAAAAAAAGTCCTGGGCTTACCTTCTTGAGCAGTCTCTGATTTCAGACTTCTTAAGTATGTTTTCTTTCTGGATTTCTAGGAGGCTTTTATCCGCAGCATTTTGTCCAAACCCTTCAAAGTTCCCATTCCAAATTATAAAGGTAAGATGAGAAGGTTTAAGGATTGTCTTTGTTGACTAACTTGGGTAAAACAGATAATGCTCAGACCTGTCAAATGTATCTGTGGGGATTAGTGTTATTTTTCACACTGATGCATATGTTCCATAAATCCTGACTTAATTTTGAAAGAAAAATGCTGGCACATTCACAAAGTCTTCATATTTCTTACTAGTGTTTCATTTGGATAATTCTACATTTCAGAATTGGATTTTGTATTCTTACTGCTATGTATTTGATGTAGTGCCAGAAGATTGTACAATCAAATTGCAAATACAAAAGCAAGATGAATTACAAGCAACGAAGGTTTACCATCTAAATAATACCCTAATGATACTAACAGACAGAAGGCTGTAGGGGAAAAAGATAGTATGTGCCAGTTTTCTGTCTACTTGGCTTGGTGTGTTGAGCCTCAAGGTGATCTTCAAAGCGAGGCAGTATTGAAGTTCAAAGCCTCAGCTGGTTTGAATCAGTGAAACACAACATCTCAGAAAGAAATGGGCCTGTTCTTGTCCCCTTCTTCCCCTTCACCCTTCAGCTGAAAAATTCAAATGCAGATCAACCACTTTCACTTGCACTTTAGTTATAAAAATATGTCTGTAAGGAGACACTGATATGAAATTACATGCCCCAAAAGAATTTGTCAAAGTTAGCTTGTGGCAAAGCAGTTTTGTCAGGAGACTGAAACAGAACTGTAACACTGGAGGCTGCTTTCTGTGGCTCTTCCTATTTTAACTGGGAGATGCTGTTTCATATGCTCTTTTCTTTGTGTGCATGCACTGTTGCCCCAGCTTGTGATGCACTCTCATTTTGCAAGGAGCTTTAGCAAGCAGTGGGCAAATTGACCCTGCTTTACTCTTTCCCAAGCAAAATCAATCCTGGGAGCACAGTTGTCTGAGTTTTGATGGGAAAAGGGATTTCTGTGCATGTTCTTTTTATGTTCATCTCCATTCCAAAACAGTGACATCAAAATATAATACCAGGAAAAGGGATTCATCCTTGGTTTCTGCTTTTCACAAAAATTAGCTCCAAGGCCAAACGTGTACTATTGCTCAGCAGAGAGAAAATAATGCCCTAGAGTAGGTATGGCAGTATGGTGTTAACTATGGTACTGTAAAACTTCATCACTGTTAAAGATCACTTCCTAACTTTACATAAAAGAGACAACTCTGGCTAAGTCTGGGTTAGGTGATCCAAAAAGAGGATTTGACCCAGTATGTCCTATCTATGTGGGAATGCATTTATTGAGCTGCTGAGGCGTACATTCTGGACTCCTGCTTGCCTTTCAAAAAACTAGAACCACCACCTTTTGGTACTAGGAGTAGCTCTGATGCCCAGAGATAGCTGAGGGGAGACATTGTGCCTGTTTATGGTTGGATGCCAGTGGCATGGGTCTGGGATGAAGCTGTCAGTCACCTTGCAAGACAGCTCATACTGTTGTGTGCCAGCATATGTGGCATCTGGTGCACCCAATGTGGTGGGCAGTGCCAATGTTCCATATTTGCCTCTGCTCCTTGGTTGTATTCTTTCCTGCCACAGAGCTACCTGCTGTGTGCTGGTAGAATGCTGCCAAACAACCACCCTGCGTGGGTTTGCAGGCACCAGTTGTGCTTGCATTTCCACACCAACACCCGATTAATTCACTGTTCCAAAATGTAATCAGACTCTTCTGCAAGCCTCTGTTTTCTTCCAGGAAGAAGCTGTTCTTTGAGTTGTGCCTTTGTTTGCTTTCAGGGCCACTGGGCTTGCGTGCACTGGGTATCAAACGGGCAGGGCTGAAGGGTCCTCTCCATGACCCTTTTGAGGAAGGAGCTCTGGTTCTGTACGAGCCCCCACTGCTGAGTGCCCATGACCAGCTGAAAATAGATAAGTGAGTAATCATCTGGCACAAAAGCTTCAGTTCTGACCTCCTTGTACATGTAGGATTATGTGCTTTCTTCCCAATTGTGTCTGAGCTGGCGTCTGAATGTCAAGAGTTGTGCTTCTGAATTGGTTCAGGTATAGTAATGAAGAAGGAATGGGCCCATGCTGGATTGTTTGTGCTCTTCCATAGGCTGTTTCATCTCCTATTCATCAAAAATTTAAACCTGTTGCAAGGAATGAGCATACACACCTGGAGAAGCTGCTTAGAAAGTCTTATGGCTTAGTTGTTAGCCAGGAAACATCAACATCTAAGGACAAGCAGAGATGACTGACAGTCAAATGTTAGGCTGCCTAATGGTTTTTATTCTGAAGTAGTTCTTTTTGTGCTGCTGTTATAATTTAAAAGGGCTGTCAGATAGATCTTCATGGACAGAGGAGGGTGTTCCTCTCTCCAATACTACAGTTACAAGATTGTTATCGAAACAAGGAACATAATGATGACTTTATAACTGTGTCTGTGAACGACATTCTGCCCTTGTTTTAACCACAGCCAGAATACACGGTTTCACTGATGTTCTGTATTGTAGATCAGGCCCCTGTGACTTCACTCTCAAAACTGAATTAATCCATTTTTCACTTTCTTGTTGGTAGTTGCTTCCCTTAGCCCACTGGGGAGTCCTCAGTATAGCAGTGAGACTTAAAAAAGCCTAAACATATGCTGTGCCGAGTTCATTAATCACACTGTTTTCTTCCCTGACTGCCTCCTGCAGGGACAAAGCACCTGTCCATGTTGTGGTGGATCCGGTCCTCAGCCGTGTTTTACGGCCCCATCAGAGAGAAGTAAGTTTTCGGTCAGGATCTGAGGGTGTGGCTGGAGCACTTGGTGCATTTCAAAAAGCTGCAATTCCTCTGCTGGAATTGTTACCCACCAACTGTGAGGTCTGCATAGACCTCGCGGACTAACAGTCTGTGACAGTCTAACAGACTGTAGTCTGTTGCAGTTGCAAAGTGAAACATTTGTTTTAACCATCCTCTTAGAGGCCTGAATGCTGCAAATACCCTTTGTCTCGTGTTAAGCAAGAGGACATGCTGGGAGTATTACAACAGTCCTGTTTGTCCTTAAAAATATGGATATATACTGCTTTCTTGTGGGTAAGAACTTTGCTGGATCAGAGTCAAGAGAAAACAGAGTCAGAGCACTCCAAGCCTAAACATGATGCTGCCTAATGCACAGGTGTGTTCTCTGTGGGGTTGTTGGCTGACCCGACCTATAGTGAAAACTGGGGAGTTTCTGTGACCATTATGCACTGGTTGCACAGGTCTAGGAAAGCACATTGGCTGACTTTTGTGTCACCAATGTTACCTTTGGAAAAGACCAGATTCTGCAGAGAGGTGGGATCTTGCAGAGTCAGGGCTGAAAGTCCAGCCTTTACTTATCTTGAAAGTCCTTTACTGATCTTGAAGTCTGGAGATGTAGCTCTGCTGAGTGGAACACAGTGTGGAAGATGATAGGATATAGTTGCAATAAATTGTGTTGCAGCCCAATCTTGAATCAGTGTCCTGGTTTCAGCTGGGATAGAGTTAATTTTCTTCCTAGTAGCTGGTATAGTGTTGTGTTCTGGATTTATTATGAGAATAACGTTGATAATACACAGATGCTTTTGTAGCTCAGTAGTGCTTATAAAGTCAAGGATTTTTTAGCTTCTCATGGCCTGTCAGAAAGAAGGCTGGAGAGGCACAAGAAGTTGGGAGGGGACACAGCCAGGACAGCTGACCCAAACTGGCCAAAGGGATATTCCATACCATATGATGTCATGCCCAGTATATAAACTGGGGGGAGTTGGCTGGGAGGGGAGGAGGATTGATGCTCAGGGACTGGCTGAGCATCAGTCAGCAGTTGGTGAGCAGTTGCATTGTACATCACTTTAGGTTTTATTTCAATCTCTTTTTGTTATCTTTCTTTTAATTACAATTATTGTTACTATTGTTATAATTTTATTTTAATTACTAAACCGTTGTTATCTCAATCCACAAGTTTTACTTGGTTCTGATTCTCCTCCCCATCCCACCAGGGAGGAGTGAGTGAGTGGCTGCATGGTGCTTAGTTGCTGGCTGGGCTTAAACCATGACAATTAGGCAGGGCAGACTGTGTTTTGCTGGTCAGCAGAATTAATTGGATCTGCAGTCCCTGAGCCAGGAAAGACTGAAGCTCTTCTTTCTGGTACCTTGCTTCCCAACACGGTGTGGAATAGATTCCTACTTCATTGTGTTTTATTCAGAGGCTACCCTTTGTAAGTGTGAGCTGTCTGTGACTGATGTAGACTTGGAATTCATCAGTGGAGAGTGCTGAAAAACATCTTCTGTTGTAAATATGTGCACCATCACAATATCAAAGCAGTGGGTACTAATCTCCAAATATCTAATGTAGGTATCTGGACAGTTTGAAGTTCAGCACAGGTGCAGTATATTATCATACAAGCCCAGAGGCATCATGGATGGAAGCTGTGATTGCTGATCTTGCAGGCTAAGCAGGTCAAGTTGGCTATGTCCCTGCATGGAAGATACTCAGATGGCTCTGAGAGCATTGTAGACTGCTCCTAACTTGTACTTGTACCTCAGAGTTGGGGGACCCAGTGTAATGCTTGTCTCTGGCTGTTGTATCTGGAGGCACTCTCTTTTGGGGTAAGATACTGCCTGCTGGTGCTTTTGTCAAGTAATGATAGTTATGTTGGTGTCCTAGGCATGTTGTCTGTGTTTTGACAGCTAGATATCTCTGATAAAGCAGTCTCAGTTCTAGTCTGACTAATAAGTCTTTGCCTGCTAAGATTCCTGTGCTGCTTCATTCGGGTGATGCTCCCAGACTGTTGTACAAGTTTGCTCTGTCTTTGTCATGTCTTTTGCCCAGTTGCCGGGAGGTCACCCAACTGGATCCCCAGCCAAATGCACTCTTTTACTCAGTAATGTATTTCATAATTTTTCAACTGGCTTAAATAAACTTCATTAACCTATTGTTAAGGGCCTAAGAAAGAAAGGAAAGGACTTGAAAGTGCAAGTGAAGGTGCTCCATCTTCCAGTCCTAAACAGCAGAGCACGGAGGGGTGAATACGTCCAGGTGTGTTTAGGTTGTGTCCCTCACTCCCTGCTCTGTTGATACAATGCAGAGAGTTTGTACATTCCCAGCACAGTGCCCTGGTTTTCTCTGACTCTATCATCACATGATAGAGGAACATTTTGTAGAGTCTGTGTTTTGTTGTTTTTTTTGTTTTGTTGTTGTTGTTTTTTTTTTTTTCCCCCCTTCCTTTTATCTGTCTTGGTGATGTGTCAGAGCCTAAGGCAGGGCTGAGCTCTCCTCCTACCATGTGATGTGGGCTATAACCTCAGCCCTGTGCCTTCTCTGAGGCTGAATCTGCTTTGGACCTTGAGTCTTCAGGTGAGTCATTGCACTTTTAGGCAGAAGCAATGAGGGCTGCTGAGGGTATTCTGGGAGTTCATCAGGCAGCAGAAACAATTCTGCTTACTCTATGATTCTGTGTTTTTAAAACTAACCTAATTTGGATGTTGTTAAGGTGATTAACCTCTCTGCAGTGATTGCAGATTAACTGATTGCCTGGGTCTATCTAATGCAACCAAGGATAGAAATTTCTGGGAATCCATGTCAGGAAGCTAGTTATAATTGTACCGTTAAAATGTAGTAAGATTTCACGCCTGTTTTGAGGTACATGTTGGCACCAGTAATGTTGTTCCAAACCAGATGTGGCTGCATTTTAAGTGCGTCTTGGGTGATTTTCCTCTGTCTCATTAGAACACTGCATGTCCCCAGGGATGAGCTACTCAGATTTGCTGTTTGTTTTAGTATCAGTCCTGTGCGTTGCAGCAATGAAGCTGTAATGAAGTTGTCATTCTGCTGATGTCCTCATCCAGCTCTGAGAGAACAATTTTTTGGCAGGGAGTGAAATTCCTCTGGGACTGTGTGACGAGCCGGCGGATCCCTGGGAGTCATGGCTGTATCATGGCAGATGAAATGGGGCTGGGCAAAACCCTGCAGTGTATCACACTCATGTGGACGCTTCTCCGGCAAAGTCCGGACTGCAAGCCTGAAATCGAGAAAGCCATGGTGGTGTCTCCCTCCAGCCTGGTGAGAAACTGGTACAATGAAGTAGAGAAGTGGCTGGGGGGAAGGATCCAGCCACTGGCCATTGATGGAGGCTCCAAAGAAGAGATTGACCGTAAACTAGGTACAGGAATGTTTGCAAATGGTGTGGTGGGCTGGCTTAGATCAAAATCTTGCTTTGGAAAAAACAGACAGCAGCTGATGTGAACATTTCTGAGCTGTCACTAGAGCTCTGAGGACTGTTGAAAGTCTCTCCACTAACATGTTTAGATCAGGCCCTTGCATGTTTGGTAATAGTTGATCTTTTGGAATAATCCAAGTTCAGTCATGTGCTTAACTTAGGGCAGTCCCAATTCCTCTTTGCTCCAGCAAGAAGCCAGGAGAAGGAGTGGGCAGAGGTGGGAGGGGGATGGAAATGGGGATGGTTGTGGGGAAAGGAGCGTGGGTATATATGTGGGTGGAAGGGATGCTACAGAGTAATTCATACAGACAGGTTTTCCTAGATTTTTAAGGCAAAAGTTTTGACTACAGAGTTTGGACCCTTTTCTATTAGTTTTCGTCATTCCTCTTTATTCCTTTTCTCCCTTTCCATCTGCAGTTGGTTTTATGAACCAGCGTGGCCTGCGAGTGCCTTCACCCATCCTGATCATCTCCTACGAGACCTTCCGACTCCATGCTGAGGCATTACAGAAGGGCAGTGTTGGGCTGGTCATATGTGATGAGGTACAGAGGAATCTTTAAGGAGAATCTGTTCCTGATATTTTCTTGAGATCTGGGCAAAGCTAGCTCTTCTTTCTTAAAACGGGGGAGTGTAGCATGAAACAGGGTTTAATTGTGGACATCACCCATTCTGGTGTTTGAGAGGCTCTGGGTAACCAGCTCATCCATAATGGGTGAGCCTGAACAAGAGAGGATGTTTTCAGGAGCTGAGATATGAAGAAAATCCAGATGGTGGTAACTGTGGCCAGTTTGTAGGTCCCTGGCAGGGTGGAGTCATGTACTAGGGCCTTCTCAGCATGAAATACATAGTAGAAAGGAGGTCCACTGCCAGTCTCTGACTCTGAAAGAGGCCTTACTCTGATGGGATGGCAGTACCCTGGCTCGCTGATCTGGTTTTCATTTTTTTCTGTTTGTCTTTGCTGAAGTCAGAAGTACTTTCTGTTTGGCCTGGCTTCATGCTCTACTCAGTAATTTTTAACTTGACTCTGTTTTGAGCAAGAGGTTGGACTGGAGACCCTGAGATCTCTCCCAACATAAATGATTCTGTGATTCAGCATGCTTTTGTGTGTTGTAGTGTTGGCTGCTGTCAGCCACTTTATGTGGCTATCTTAATCTGTGCTTGTGGGGGAGTTTGAAGGGCACGCCCATGGCAGGACCCTCTTCCCCTCTCTGTAGTCTTCTGCTCAGGGCAGAGGTAGGAGAGCTGGGTGAGGTGTTCCTTCATATGCTACTTGTTCAAAAGGAGGTAGACGTGGCTTGACTCCATGTTTGCTGACTGCTGGATCAACTTTGTCAAGACTATGTTGCCAAGCTCTGCTTTCACAAGGCTGAAATGCAGTTGTTTTTTCATTTATTGTTCTCTATTTGTGATTATAGGTATTGAGAGCCAGAGATTCTCTGAAGGACAAAGTAAAACAAGTGCCCTCTGCCTCCCTGAAATGATCAAGCCAGTGTCCTCGCTGCCAGATAGACAGGATTTGTTATGTAGTGGTGCCACCCAGTGGTTTGGTTTTGTATTTGCTAGAACAGTGCTGAGAGGAGCTTAAAAAGAACGATCATCCTCACAAGTGTAACACCCACACCTCTTAGTGCCCCTGGGATGGGGCCAGCAGCTAGAGATGCTGGCAGTGCAGGTCCTTGGCTTTGTAGCTTCTGTATGCTTCAAGTAAATACTCACCTCTCTGCAGTGATCTGGTACTTGTAAAAAGCGTCTCATCACTTAACACTTTGTCCTGCAGCATAGCACTTGGATGCTAATAAAGCTGCTTTTCCTAGGCATGGGAAATGGGGCCTGTATTCAGATTACACCTGTAAGCAGTGCAGAACCTCTGTTAGTGTGCAAAGGCCTGGATATAGGTGGTCTGAATGGCTTGTGTTCTTGACCTTGGGTGATAAAATGTTACTGGTCCAGAGTTCAGTGCCTGGTGTTGGTATCTGAAAACATCCCCATATGTGAACAGGAAACAGGTCTTTTAGTTAGACCATGTGGTGGTTGTTATTTTCACAGTAGACTCTATGGCCTGGGTGTGACTCAGATGTTCATGGTCTGGGAAGCTTGTAATGTCATGTTTCCTCATGTAATGGCTTTAGGTTTCCCACTAGATTCTTGGTTTTGAAAGAAGTCTGTCACAGCAGTTGAATATACCTACAACATTTAGTCCACTACCGGGAATGGGAAAAATGGTGAGATGCCTTTTGGGAGCGTACAGCATGTCAGTGTTGATGAGGATCTCTAAGCTCCTTCCTATCAGGGCAACTGGATTTATCAGTTTCATTCATTTTTTTCTTTTTTTCAAAGGGCCATAGACTGAAGAACTCTGAAAACCAAACATACCAGGCTCTCAACAGCTTAAATACACCTCGACGAGTCCTTATCTCAGGCACCCCCATTCAGAATGACCTGCTTGAATATTTCAGCCTGGTGCACTTTGTCAATTCAGGCATTCTAGGTAAGACATGAATGTGTGAGAGACATAAGGGAGAGGGAAGTTGCTGGCAAGGTCTCCCCTAGCTACAAGTCTGGTGAAATCAGCAAGACATTAGTGAGAGGAAAGGTCAGATACAGGTTGGAGACTTATTCTCCTTAAGTTTGTATCCAGAAAGTCTAGATCAGGTTCCCCTGTTTCAGAAGCTATAAATCATCAGAGCTCTGTTTCAAGAAGATGGTAACTTAAAGTGTGCCAGTCTCTAACAGGTGTTTTGGAAGGGGAATTAATTATTAAGGTAAAATGAATATATGACCCTGAGTAGTACTGCCTGGCTATTCTTGTGTAGCTATGCTGGTCAGCCAAAATCTCCACCTAGTTTAGGAGTTTCTCTGATAATAAGCTCTTGGAGATACCGCAGGAGTTGCTAGGCAGGAGAAGCCAACTCGTAATGGTACTTCCCACAACACTCCTAAGCTGTAGTAAATTCAGAAATCTAAGCCAGGAGTGATGTCTTTGTAGGAGAGGGTCTGCAGAAAGGAGGGTTTGACATGACATGCTCTCTGTGTTGAGTACAGAGGCAGCCTGCGAGACAGCTTTTCCCTGCTCTCTCTTGTATCCATCAGGCACAGGAGGCTGAAGTGACTGGGGCGGAATGAGGTACCTTGTGGCAGAGTTAGGCAACAAAGCCTGAATTTCTGGCAGTCTGCCATCCCACTTTCAGATAAGCTGAGGGTGATGTCTAGCATTTGTGGCTAAGAATGCTGCTGTTTTTAGGGCAAAGGAGGCCTGTGAATTATGGGGTTAACTTCATCTGAGATAGAAGAGAGTCTGGAGGAGAGATACTGATTAGTGTGAGTTTTTAGGATCAAACACCTACAATTGTTGGTAGCAGACTAAAGAATTCTGTCTCAGACTCCTATGTTCTGCTTATATCTGCAAGCTCTGTTTTCAATTTAAAAGCAAAGTAGTCTTTGCATTCTCTCCTGTGTCACTGGGTTAGGAGCAGGTCTGCTGCTTTCCAGTGTGAAGCAGCTTGGCTTTGTCAAGAGAGGTCATTTTTTCTGTCAAGGAATGATAATAAACCAATCTGTAAATCATTTCCTTGTTGCTGTAACTTGTCACACATATTTGTCTCAGATTGTTTGGCATCCAGTTCAAGAGGCTTCTCATTAATTCTAGTGCATGCACAACTAGTTAAACACCATTCATCACAGTCTTAAAAGCAGCATTTGGGCCATATCTTTTTCTGTTCAGCTGTTCTGCCCCCAGGATTTCTCAAGGAAAGGATGGGATTGTAGGTGTTCTACATCTGCCTTTTTCATGTTTCAATTTTGGGTAGTTAGTACAGGGAGCTGATGTGATTTCCCCTGCCCCACCTTGACCTGTACTTTGGTCAAGACTAGTCTGCCTATACTTCCAGCTCATTCTCTCTGGGATGAGGTTAATACTGTAACTACTTCCAGCAAAGCTGCATGAACGTAGTAGTCATTTTTCCCTCTTTCAGCCTGTGACCAGTAATAAGCAGCTGATTACAGATAATTGTGGAACAGGCAATGCCTGTGCTGCTGTTTGCAAGGACAAAATCTGTGAGTAAAAGTATAGCTGGAATGTAAGCAAAAACTACATGCCTGACTGGACTTGGGTTTAACTAAAATTGTATCACCTTTGGCAGTGCATTGTTGTTGGAGTACAAAATTACTTTCAGTTGTACAGATTTGCCTGCATTGTTTGAATCTTTCCTGGCTAGGAAGGAAAACAAATCATACTAATGAAGTGGGAGTTTGTTTTATCTGCTGGGCCCCATGCTTGTGGTGTGATAACTGGGGCTGCGGGGTACTGATCAAAGGTTATTTGGTAATAGTTGTCACCTTTTCACTTCTGTTTTGTACAGGAACTGCACAGGAATTTAAAAGACACTTTGAAATTCCCATTTTAAAAGGCAGAGATGCAGATGCAAGTGAAGCTGAGCGACACAAAGGAGAAGAAAGACTTAAAGAGCTGATCAGCATTGTGAACAGGTGAACTTCATTCCTCTTCTCTTTGCAGAGCTTTTGCGTAAGCCCTTGGTGAACACTGGTATCTTTCCAAATTACAGTTGTAGCTGTAATGAATTCTCTTGCCAGTTACATCTATTCAGTGAGTGATTGTGCAAGTATTTATTGCCTAAGAAATCTACATAGCATGTAGCTTTAGTCTGAAAAATAGCATATTGACATGGCACAGTTAGCAGCAGTCACCCCCAAGCAAACGTACTCAGATACTGAATTATGACTTGACTCTTATGTTTCAGTTTTCTCCTGGGATCTGAACAGTCAGGCAGCATCCTTTTATTTGTGTTAACACAACTACAGTGGAGACTGGGTCAGACTTGAGATCTGTCCAGCCCAGATGTTGAGTGGCAGACAGAGTATAAGGAATGTTGCTCAGTTCTGCTGTTGATTGCCCAAGTCATAAGAGTCCAGTTCACTTTCATAGCTGTGTTGGGTCTGTAGGGCTAATGGGATTAGACTACTCATGTCAGAAATGTGACTTTTGATCCCCAAGAAGCACCTCTGTGATGGAAAATGCTGTCTTATTTCTCTTTGGTTGATTTTTGGTATTATTTGGTTTAAACCTGGCTTCTATTTATGAATACAGCCAGTTTATCTACATCTGCTGGCAATTGTTTGTTTCTCTAAGAACTCTTACTAGAGACTTATTTGAATTCTCATCATTGTTGGTGTCTTCATCTCTTTTTTTTTTTAATCTGAGCTTTTGCAACCATCACAAATACAATCCTGCAGTTCATAGTCATGGTAAACTGAATTTCACAGAGTATAGCCTCTCTATAGAGACAGCCCTGGCCTTGACTTGGGTCAGCTTGAAGCTAGGAGAAAGGAAAGCTTGGGAGGAGAAGAACTTACTCATTCTTGAGATGTATTTATCTCTTTTTATAGTTGATGGAAAAGGGGTGCAAAAGTTTGTTCAGGAGTGCTTGTGCCTGGCTGTGTTGAGGTCTCTGTCCTTTCCTTATTGTGCAACAGTCATGATACACAAATAGGAAAGATGAAGCACCTAAGTACTGACAGATGGATCAGTTCAATTTGGTAGGAATTACAAGTGAGCAGTGTTGCAATGATATGTGGAATCATAGGTGTAAAGCTGAAAGGGCCCTGGAGAAAACATCTAATCCATGTTGCTGTCACAAGGTAGAAGGTGTTAGACCTAAACTGCCCCCTACTTAATCTCCACCCCACACAAGACGTTGCATATTTCCCAGGACACCTTTTCCAAGGCATCACTGACTTCACAGTTAGAAAAAGCTCTTAATGTGTAACATAAACCTTCTTTACCACAGTTTAAGCTTGCTACTTTTCATCCTGTTTATGGGTTTGGAAACTAGATTATTCCTTTATTTAACAGCCTTTGATGGATTTTGGGGCTGTCATATATCCCTGCTGTCTTCTGTGAGTTTTGTAACATTGTATTTTTTATGTTTCCTGGTAGAACTGGGTGTCTGTACCTTTCTTATTCTGGCTGCTTAGTTCAGTACTTTTTCTAGTCCTAAAGTGCAGTAGGACTGCTTCATGGGGCATTTCTAGAGCTCTAAAGGATATGCCCTTTGCTGAAGTCTTGTGCCAGACAGTGAACCCCTCTTGGCTGAGGATCACTACTAAATTACTCCATGGGGAGATGCCTGCTTGTACTTTGGGTTATGTCCATGATGTATGGTGGTTAAATCCTGTCCTTGTTAAATTAAATCCTGGTCCATGACACTGGTCTGTTGTAGCTCAAGTTGAGAATACTGTTGGTAGTCTGAGGAAGAGCTGAGTTTCTCTTGTAAGGCTGTTAAGTGGAATCATGCCTCATCCCTCCAAATCTCGTGAACCAATTTTGGAAGCCTCACGAAGACAGTGGGTTATATTGGGCTCTGTAGCATGGGCAGATGGAGCACTCTTAGCATGGTTTAGTGTGGATGGTGGGTGTCTGGCCTTTACCATGTGTTGGACTGTCACGGACTTTTGGAGATGAGATAGCAAAGGGACTTTGTGTTGATCTTTTGATGAATAATAGTGATAAAACAGGGATTTGATGTCACCTAAGCATCTAATCTTAATTTTGCTCCCTGCAGGTGTTTAATCCGAAGAACTTCAGACATCCTGTCCAAATACCTCCCAGTGAAGATTGAGCAGGTGGTCTGCTGCAGGTATCAGAAAGCATGTAGTCTGCCTAGGAAATGGGAGTAGCAAAAGGAAGGACTAAAAAGTTGCAAAAAACCGTTCAATGCTTGTGGAAATGGCTCTCCTCTAGGAATAAGATTGTAGCCATTGGCAATATGTTGCTTTTCTGCCTGAATCAGGGATGGACAACCCACAACTGGTGGTTCTGCCAGCCAGCTGGTGTGCTCTGGGCAGCTGTGTACAGCAGAGCCCTGGGCTATGCAGAGTATCTGCAAACCTCTCTTCCAGCTCTGGGCTGGAATATCAGTGCTGTACCATCAGCCTTGGAGGCAGTTCTAGGCTGTCTGTGTTACAGCTAAAATAAATCAAGCTAAAAGGAACCCACTGTGTAGATGGAAGAGGAAGGATGGGGTTGGTTTGGATCCAGGCTGAGACTGCAGACCTCTTGTTCTGTTTCAGATTGACACCTCTGCAGGCTGAGCTGTACAAGAACTTCCTGAAGCAAGCCAAGCCAGTGGAGGAGCTGAAGGAAGGCAAAATCAGTGTGTCATCTCTCTCTTCCATCACTTCCTTGAAGAAGCTCTGCAATCGTGAGTTGTTCCACTCTTGCAATGGGTTTGATTTTTGCATTGTTGATGGGGTGTTTTTGAGTCTCCCTTGTGCACTCCACAGTCTGAGCTCTATTTGTTCTCCAGACCCTGCTCTTATCCATGATAAGTGCGTGGAAGAGGAAGAAGGTTTTATGGGAGCCCTGGACTTGTTCCCTGCTGGCTATAACACCAAATCTGTGGAGCCCCAGCTTTCAGGTACTGTGGAACTCAACAGCCCAAGTGTGCTGTCTAACACAGGCCACCATGAGACTATATTTAGCATCTTATCAGGTGCCCTTCCAAGCTCTGGGATTTGGGAACTTCTGCTCTAGCTTTCTTTCTTTCCTTTTTATCCAGGAAAGATGCTGGTTTTGGACTACATCCTTGCTGTTACAAAAAGCACCAGTAACGACAAGGTAGTTTTAGTGTCTAACTACACTCAGACACTGGACCTATTTGAAAAGCTCTGCAGGAACAGAAGGTTTGTCTTTGGGCTTCATTTGTTTAATCCTGCAAGACTGTACTTGCAGCTTACACTGTAAAGGAAACTGGCTATTTTTAAAGTTTCTATCAGCAGGAACTTGATCTGTCTTTTACCTCAGATGTTCCTGAATTGGAACTAATGTGGCTTGTGCTTTGCAAAAGCTCCTAAAGCCCAGGCCCTTGTTACAAGGTTGTTTGTGAAAGATTTTTCTCTTTCAGGTAGGATGCTCTGAAGGTCTCAGTAGTCTGATTGTAGTAAATGCTGTATATTCTAGGTATTTATATGTCCGGCTAGATGGCACCATGTCCATTAAAAAGAGAGCAAAGATTGTGGAGCGATTCAACAGCCCCTCGGTACGTAGAACCTGCCAGATGTGAGCAGCTCTCCTGCCAGTTTTGAATGCTGTGAGTAAAAGTATGGCTGCAACTGTAGTTTAATCCAAGCTTGCCTTTTTCCACAGAGCCCTGAGTTTATCTTCATGTTAAGCAGCAAAGCAGGTGGCTGCGGTTTGAATTTGATCGGGGCTAACAGACTGGTTATGTTCGACCCAGACTGGAACCCAGCTAATGATGAGCAGGCCATGGCTCGTGTGTGGCGGGATGGCCAGAAGAAGACATGCTACATCTATCGACTGCTTTCAGTGAGTCTTACTCCTCTCACCTCCTCAACATGGAGTTCTTGGTGCCAGCCCAGATGGCAGCTGCTGTGATTAAGATCAGAAGGGGAAGAACTTTTTTGTGGTGGTGACCAGAATTGACTGGAGCTTAATTGTTTCCTACCCTTAGATGTGTTGCTGTGGAAAACCATGAAGGTTCATTCTGGAGGGTTGTTGCTGCAGGACTTGGTTTCTAATGGTGACTGGCTTTTGAGAAATAGGAACAACTGTGGCTTTCCAGATAAGATGCTCCTCTGAAGTCATTTAGCCAGCTGACTACCTTAATTTCTTGGGGTGTCTGATGCCAAAGTTGCTGGTTTGCAGTCTGGCTGCAGTCCGGTTTGTTTGGGTGTATGTGTACTTAATAAACAGCAAGTACATTACTGGAATTGCAGCGGCTTTTGGAATGGGGCTGCCAGTTAGCAGCTGAGGTAGCTGGACTGTAAAGGAAAAGCAGGAAGATTAGTATTTTCAGGCTACTGTAACACTTTGTCCCCTCTCTGCCCTTGTTCACCTTCACCTCTCATTAGTTCAGACTGTGGGGTTTGGCTTTGGTCTGGGTTTTTTGTTGTTTTTTTGTTGTTTATAAGCTTGTGTTCCATGATCAATTATTATTTTACTTTGACAAAACATTCTTTGCTCATGTCTTCCTTATGGTGTTCTTTTTCGCTGACCTGGCTGCACCTGGAAGCAGGGAGCTCTTTTGCTTTTAGAACTAGCAAACCGATCTGCAAATCATGACTAGTCACCCCTCTCCTTTGTATTGTATCTGTCTGCAAAACAGACATTTTGCTCCTAGGTTTTTGCCTTAAAAATGTAGCATACTGGGCTTTCTGCACATCTGTTCTAGAAGTAGTCCTCTCCCTCCAGACAGCGGGTGTGTTTGATCTGTGTGTGGGTGAACCAGTAAATACTGCTGACACTTGTGTCACCCTGGGCTATCCCTTGTTGCTGTTTTTTGGGGGAGCTTGTGTGTGTGTGCTTGTGTTTTGTTTGTTTGTTTGTTTTTTTTTTGTCAGGGAGTGGGTGTAGCTGCTCAGCTCCTTTCCCTTCCTTCCTGTCAGCACAGTCTGCTGTGGTGTGTGAGCTCCTGCCACAAGTGGCAGCTCCACCTCTTCCTCATCCATATCTCGGTTGGATCCATTCCTGTAGCCACGGTGAAAGACAAGAGAAGCAGAGTTGGGTTTGATTGGCAACCAAATAGGACATGGTTGGAGTGCAGCTAGTAAAACTTGCCTGTCATCTGTACTAGTCTGGCAAGGCACTAAATGGTCCTGACAGCTTACTGCCATTTGATCTGTGACACTTTCCCAATGTGGTGCTCCTTTAACAGCAATGTCTCAACTGTGTTTCATCTCTGACTCTCTCTCCTGCAGACAGGGACCATAGAGGAGAAGATATTCCAACGCCAGACCCACAAGAAGGCCCTCAGCAGCTGCGTGGTGGATGAAGAGCAAGATGTAGAAAGGCACTTCTCACTTGGGGAGCTGAAGGAGCTTTTCACATTGAATGAGACCACCACTAGTGACACCCATGACAAGTGAGTGTACTGAATGACTAATAGAGGGGGTCAGCAAAAAAAAAAAACCCTACCAGTTTGGTCTACTGGTTCAGAGGTTCCTCAGGCAGCAGGGGGAAGCTCAGAGAGAGAGGGCCTCGAGCGTCTCTGCTTCTGAAACTGTTAACCACCTGGAGATGAGCACTTCCTTGCTGTCTTCCCTTTTTGTTGTCTAAGAAAAGCAGTGCTGGCTGGACAAGTGAGCAACCTGCAACTTGCTGCTGTCTGTGTTTGGAGGCTGTGAAATACTGCAGCTACTGAAAAGGGAGAGATGGATCAGAGCTGTTCAAATTGGTGGAGCCCGACTTGGTCCTTCCTTGCTGCTGTCCTGGTGGTTTGATCTTCAAGTGCTGAGCTGCTTCCACTGTCAGGGCTACTCCATCTGCTAAGAATTCATGAGGGCAACCCAAGTGCTGTTCTGGGGACTAAAAGAATCTTGTCCATTGTCTGCCCTTCTCCCCCACCCCTGAGACCTGTGGTATTGTAGCCACCAGAAAGAGGACAGGGAGGGCATGAAAATGCTTCAGTGTGAAAGTTAAGACTCTTAGTTCAGGCAAGAAGTGAAGAGGATTAGTTTTAAGGTGACGCAAAGCTTAGCTCTGTGTAGGTATCTTGTCTGCATGGCAACAAGCTTTGCTGTCAGGGCTGCTGCTGCTCTTTGTCTCCTGACATGGCAGCTCAGTAAGGCATCTCCAGAACAGCCTGAGCACAACCCGGTGGCTGTGGTGGGAGCCAGGGTGGAGCGGGTTGGAGCACAGTGTGCTCTCTCGAACTCGGGAAGCCCAACACAGTGCTTAGTTGTCAGCAGTTGGGAACGTTCACTTGAGATCTGCTCTAAGCAACATCCCTCACCTTTCAGGGGAAACTCCTGAACTTCCTCTGGGTCCTGCAGGACCGTGGCTAAACATGGAGGGGGAGTGCCATTAGAAACAATCACAGGGTTTCCAAAATACGGGAGTCATTTCTTATCTGTCACACATGCAAGAAGGTGGTTATGCATTTAAATGTAACGTGGTAGTAATTAATCCTGTCTGAAAATCCAGCTGCCACTGTTGCAGGTGAGGGGGAGTTAATCCAAATGTTACTACGTTTTTTAAACAACCCTTACACTAAAGTAGTGGAGGAACCTTGCACTGACCTTGTGCTGGCTCTCTTCCAGGATCAAGTGTCATCGCTGTGTGAACGGCCACCAGGTACGGCCCCCTCCTGAAGGGTCTGACTGTACCTCTGACCTCTCCCAGTGGAACCACTGTGCCGATAAGCGGGGGCTGCAGGACTCCGTGCTGAAGGCTGCATGGGATGCTGCTGTCACCTTCACCTTTCACCATCACTCCCATGAGGAGCAGCGAGGGATTCCCTAACAGGTTACTGTCCCCTGTGGGGGCAAGGACAGGCTGCTGTGGCAGTACACCCCACTTGAATCCCTTTTAAGGAAAGGGGCAGTGGGTAGCCGTACATGCTGGACCGTTGCGTGGCTGTGGAATAACAGAACAGTGTGGTTTCCAAGAGGCTGGAAGGCCCTTAGCATTAGTCAGTCAACTGCAACAGCAAGGAGTGCGTGGCTTTTTCTTTGCTGTTATATTGTGTGTCTGAAAAACAGCCCTTTGGGAACTGGGAAAAACTGGACCTTGTGCCCTTGATCAGATATTGCACTGGCTCTCATGCTGTTGGAGTCTGTGCCTTCTACTCAGCCAAGTTTTGTCCTCAGGTTTAAGTTAAGCCTGCAGTTTTAGAGCACTCGATGTGCAGTCATGGTTTTTCTTCCTTGACAGCTCTGGCTTACAGCTGTTGATCAGAAACTTGCAGGGTTCATTTCTGTAGTGAAATGTGAACCTTGATGATTACTTGGGAAGAGGATTTGCATAAGGGAAAAATTTCAGCTTGCATGTTGAATATTTGGCCTGAAAGATCATGCAAGCAGTAGAAAATCAGGCTCTAAGGTAAATCAATTTCTAAAACCACTTGCTTTGTTATGGGCAGGCTCCCCTGATCTAACAGTGTTTTAATTAGATCACATTACAAACCAGTAACAAAATTTACACTTTGGTACATTATGGGTCTTAATTATATTTTTATTACAAAAATGTTACAAAAAAACAAACTATTCAAAACCTCTGTAAAATGACTGCAGACATTGGAGAGGGGCAACATGACTGCACATAAACAGCAGGCTACTTGGTACAGAAGGAATTTAAAATAAGATTTTCCAAATGTAAAAGTTCAAGGCTAGGAATGCTTTTAGGGAAGCTCTTAGCTTGTTTGCTACTCCCTTTAAATGGAGGGAGGAGTTCTTATTTCACAGATCCTAGCGTGGCTGAAGTTGAAAGGGACCTTGAGGGCATACTGTCCAATGCCCCTGCTCAAATGCAAGGCCACCTAGAGCTGATTGCCAAGGGCCACAGCCAGATGGCTTTTGAGTCTCTCCAATGATTAAGATATTTATTGATGAGATGTTGGCTGAAACAGATAAATAAATAACTGCTTGTCTAGACATCTGCAGGAAGTCACAGAAGTTCATGTGATGTGTGTCCCACTTACCATCTTCTCAGTTTGAATACTTTAAGAGTTCAGTTGCCTGGAACTACAGCTGTTGACCCACAGTTTTGCATCACTTCACTGTGGTGCCCCTTCTTCAGATGAACAGAAAAGGGACAAGAACAACTGTACTCTGCTTGAACCAGGGGAAGAAAACACCACCTGTGCTATGAATTAGATCTTATTGGCCAGGGACTGAACTGCTCAGTTCAAGCTGACTGATTTGCTCCTGCATCCATCACATGACACTGATGTAGTCAGCAAAGGCTTGGGAAGAGTCCCACGAGTCATTGACCACGCTGCACACAGCTTTGAGACGCCGAAGTGCTTCTTGAGCTGTTTCAGCATCCTGGTCCAGCCAATTTTGGAAGAGGCGGAGGTGTGTGAATTGAATCTGTCCCCCTCTCTGCTGGATGTGGCCTTCCAGCTTCTTTGTGAACTCTAAGAGCCCATCAGGTTTGATGCAATTTGAGCTTTCCAGGGAAAGAAGGAAAAAAAAAGTCATTAAGAGTCTAGGCTATGATTTGTGCAGTTCAAATAACTGCTCCTTCTAGTAACTGACAGTGCAGGTACTCAGGGATGTTTCAACACAAAGTACAACTTTCTTCAGTAATACAAAACGTGAGTGGTCTGTTTTGATGAAAAAAAAAAAAAAAACTGAAGTACAGCCATAATACAAAGGGCTGTAATCTTTTTAAAACTAAGGTGGTAACCCCTGTAAGTTAAATCCATTATCCTGGCCTCCTTACTACTGATTTAAGTAGACCTAGCTGTGGCCTTAAAATGTTGCTGGACCCAAACTGCTGGTTAAGCAGTGCCAGGAGCGCTCCAGTCTCCTAGCAGCTGTCAATGGCCTGGCCCAAGGGGCCTGGCCCAACCTACAAGTTGACATGCAAGTGATCATTTATCTCTTCCTTCTGAGAAAAGCTGGAGCACATGTGTCAGGTCCTGGTGTTTCTAGGAGGTTAAAAGGTCATTTCCTTTGCATAGATGTGTAAATAAAAATTAAGCTGCATGCTGGACTAATCTTGTGAGAAGCACAGTAACAATCAGGATTCAAGGCTACTGTAGGAGAACCATGGTTAAATTGTCAAGCCTGTGTACTCTCAGCAACCTGAAGCATTAGGATATAAAGAAGGAGGGGAAAAATGATCAAGCAAAAAAGTCATTAGTACTGCAGAAGTGCCACCCTCTGCATGCTTCATGAAGGTTAATGCCTAGCTTACTGGCTGTTCAGGCTCAAGAAGAGAACAGCAGTTCAAGCTGCTTTGAAGACCAAAGATGACGAGAGGAGAATGCAGAGGCCTTCACAGGATCTGACAGGGGAAATTACAAGATACTCTCCTATGGCAGTGGGAACAGAGCTATTCATGCTGATGCCTAAGAATAAATGTATATAGGGATGTTAGTTCTGACCTACAGCCCAGGAAAGGCCTCCAGCTCCCAAGGGAGCAGCAAACCAAAGCCACTTTTAAGATGTAGCTTGACTCATTTATAAAAGGGACAGTGAGATGCCTTAGAGATGCTGGAGGTCCCACTAAGGTTGTATGTGCCCACTGCAGTGTTTCTCTAAACTTTTTTTGGTCAGCTGTTTCCTTGAGGAAGGAAAAAAAAACATGCTCAGGCTTCTGCTTCTGAGCCCAGTTCACCTCTGGCCCCCTTGAAATAAGGAATTCAGTGTGTTTAGAGCAGGGGAATACCTGACATCCAGCTGGCAAAGAGAAGAGGATGAATCTTCAGAGAAAATATCTGCAAGGGCAATCAGCCTGTGATTTCCTAAAAGGGGAGAAATGCAGATGTTAGATGCAAACTGGAAACTGTCTTAAGTATTTAAATGGCCACAGGCTGGGATAATAGTGCAATAAGGAGGCTGTAAGCATGTGCATGCAGCACAAAGGGTTCATCTCTGCACCCTCAGTTTGCCCCCCTCAGTGCCCCAAAGCAAATTCACCCTGCTGAGCAACAGTGTTCAAGACAATGGAAACATTTGCTGATAGGGCAGTTTGTTTCACTAGAAAAATCCTAGTTTTGTTTGAGAAGTCAATATGCAGCTTTTTAAAAACAGCCAATAGCACAGGGTTAAACTCAAAACTCAGAAATTAGATGTATTTCCGGGGATCCTAAGCCTCCCCATTTAATTTTATTAAAAGAACAGAAAACAATATCCTGGATTTACCTGCAGTTCCTTTCTTTGACATTTCTACTTGGCCTGTGATCTAAAAAGCCTACCCTTTCTGTAAATTCAGTTCCAGTTCTTTGACGCAAGGCCTTCCCTTACTTATCCCCATCCCTTCAGTGGCTGCCACCAGCTTTTAAGGCACAAAATCCCCAAACTTGGGTAAAATCTGTAAGAGGCAGTGCATCTGTTGCTGGATCTGTTCCTGTTAGAGTCCAGAGCAGATTACTGTAGCGTCAAATCTGGAGTCCTGTTGATACTTGCTTTTTGCTGCAGAATAAAGCAACTGTAACAGGTGTGCAACACCTGGGCTCTCAGTACATTGCTGAACACAACTGAAATTCTGCTTTTAAAAAGTGAACACAGTGTTCCTTATTTTGAGCTAAATCCCCTCTGTTCATGCATATGTTAAGTTCAGCACGGACTTCACCAACTAGCAACAGTCCTAACTCCAACCCCTAAGTTACTTCCAAAAGAGCTGGTCCAAGGTCAAGGCCCCAGAGCAACATTCACTGTACGCACCAAGGCGATTCCCAGGCAGTTTGAGGCTCTTCAAAGATGAATTTCTTTTCACTGTATTGATTATTTCTGACAAAAACTCGGTAGTAGAGCTTTCAAACAGCCGGCAGAAGGAAAACGTGATTTCTACAGAAGAAATGGATTGACAGTACATGTTACTACTCCCTGTGCACTTCATTATTCCATAATTACATCCTGCAGACACCTCCAGCCCCTAATCTGTATGCCAGAACAAAGCCTCCCCAGCCACGGATTGCATACAACAGCACTGCTGCTCTGTCGCAGGAAGAGAGCAGAGATCACACCCAGGGAAGCAGCTTTGCCGGCTGACCCAGTTAAAGGCTGATGTTCTCTGCAGGTTAAAAGTCTCTGTTTTATAGCCAAGACTATGGACTCTTCCCTGCAGCACATGCCAGCTTTGCAGCTGCTCCCCTCTCTGCCCTGCTGGCACAAAGAACCAGACACATTCCCACTGCCAACAGCTACAGATCTGCTCCAGGGACAGTGACATTTGGCTAAACCTTACACATCTGAAGATCACCTCTTAAACGTCAGCCAGGCAAAAGCAGCCACCTGCAGCACATTTCCAGGCACCAGCACCCAGGAGTTTTCTGTACCTTGCAGGATGGGATCCTGAAGCAAAAGCAGAACTTCTTTCTGGTGCTCAGCCAGGTTCACATCATGAAAGCTCACTTTCTTCAAGTTTGGATTACACTCTAAAAGCAAAACAAGTTTTCTGGTAAAGTACTGTATGTCCTTGGGATAAAACGACCCTGACCCAACTATCAGCTAACACCCAGAAACTGTGTTGGACTGTGGATAACTTGTGCTGGATTGTGGGCAATTAAAAAGGAACTACCCTGCTGTGCAGGATCATTCACACAGTCAGCACAGAAAGTGGGATGGCTGACACCCATTTCCTTTTCTCAGGAGACTTCAAGGATGTCCACACTGAAGAAACGGTCCCACCTACGCTAGCTTCATGCTAAAGGATGGAAGATCCCAGCAAGGAAGCTACTCTGGGTGTCACAGTGATGCTTCCTACAGGTTAGCAGAGTACCTCTGAGCGCCTCCAAAAGGAGCCCCAGCTCCTGGGAACAGGGCAGTGTGGCGCTGTCAAGGGACAACTGCTGGAGGGACTTTGATGCCTTGAGCACTGGCAGCAGGAATGCGGTGTGCAAAGGTTCCCTGGGGAATCGGATCTCCAGCTGCTCCAGGCAGCTCTCTAAGGGAGGAAAAGGAAACAACAATGAAAGAGCTCGGTCTGGAGTGCCTGTCTTCAAGGTAGCTAGGTCCTAGAGCAAGCAAGTAGTCTGTGTGCCTGACAGGACTATCAGGTTGGTAGAAAGTGCCTGTGTGACACAGCCTGCCCCACAGAGTTCTATGGCAATGTAAATCACTGAAGGCTCATTTCAGGACTCCTGCCAGACCACAGGGCCACCAATTTCTACTGCATTCTGGCAGCGAAACAATGCTTGAGAAAAGGTCACCCCTTACGCACAAACCAGTCAGTGTCTTCCCAGAGCACAGCTCTTCAGTGACCCAACTCCATGCTTGCTCAGGCTTTGCTTACTGCTTTTATGGTCACTCAAAGGCCAATATGTGTGATGAGAGACCTGTGAGATGAGAACACACTGCTACAGCTCCCAGACTGTAATCCAGAGGCCTGGGCAGTGCTTTGCCATCACCTGTGGCATTGTAATGATCAAGAGATGCTTTCCCTCAGCTTAAGTGTCATCTAAGTCTTAGAGCCTCAGAGTCAATAGGATGGACAAAGCAGAAGCTCCCAACCAATTTACATATCTGGTGGGATACACTCCCTGTGGGCTGCGTGGACAGTCACTGCGAGCAGGCTATGACTGGCCCTGTACAAAGCTGACACTGCAGCAGGTTGGCATACAGCAATAAAATGCTTTGTCCAAGACTCAGGCTCCACAGAGCATGTCAGAGTCCGGAAATGACAAACTGCAATGCCATCTAAATCAGAAAGGTGAGGCTGCAATTGCTTAATTACACATCACTGTAACAGTGTAGAGTTCAAATCTGTGCGCCAAGCTTTTACAGGTCTATCTGCCTGCCACATCCTGGTCATCACTTAGAATGATTCCTACCTGGGATTTCTACCTCGCTGCAGCTTGGATTCCCCTCTGGCCTGTTCCCCTCCAGCTGGTTTTTGAGGTCGAAGCTGACTGAGAGTGTGTGGAGCTGGGGGAAGGCGCTCAGGATGCAGTGAACAAGCTCCATGCAAGGCATGTGGGAGAAGACGTCGCTCACGCGCACCACGCGGAGGTGGCAGTCCGAGTGGCAGGAGAGGGCCCGGAGCCCAGAGAGGATACAGAAGATGTTAGCACCCAGGCCTGGAACAGCATTCGTACAGAAAGGTGTTAGCTGTGCCTGTACAGACACCAACACACACGCAGCTGGAGCTGCACCAACTGCCTAAGTCAAAGGCTAAACTCACAGACTGCTTTACCCACACATTTTTAAGCTAGACTGTGTATACAGGAGATGGAGATCTGGCTCTTTCCCTTGCCCTATTTGGATGGCCATTTAAGCACAAGGCCAGGGGCTGTTCTGGTGCAGAATGGCCCCGTTCTTTCCCTCAAACAAGTCCCCACACTCATTAAACATCTCCACCAAAGCCATTCTCAAGATTGGGTACCAATACTTTTAAATATGCCCATTCCAGTAAAAATAAAATCAGGGTAAACGTGAGCAGTAAGTCAGACCATTAGACCAAGGCTGAAGGAAGCAACCCGTGCCCACCACTAACCGTTGTAAGACAGAACCAAGTTTTCTAAAGACACCCAGGAGCTCAGCAGGTTACTCAGAGTCCGACACGTCTCCCCAGTCAAAGGAATGGAGAACAATTCCAGTGTGGACACACTTCGGAAGCGGCGAGCAGCTTTCAGAGAAAAGATCCCAGCAGATCCCCCTCTTTTCTTACAGCCAGCACGGCCAGTGCATGGAGATCCTGGGGAAGAACTAGTCCAGTTCTCAGTGTTTTCTCCCTCTGTGGCACTATTTTTGTCGAGTAACCCTGAATTATCCTCTCTAGCAACAGCAAAAACAAAATCATACAGGTCTTCTGGGTCAGCATATGGTCCCCTGCTTCGTCTGAGGCAGCGACGTCTCTTCGCCACTGCAGATTTTAGCCGTCTGCGTGTCTTTCGAAGAATGGGGCGACAGGACAGCTGGTCTGAGATGCAACAAGAAGATCCTCCCCGAGTGGTGGTGTGGTCACAGGACACCTTGCTGCTTGACTCCTCACATGCTTGGTTTCGCAGAGGACTTCCTGGTCTGGAGAGGACAGAGTTCAGACAAGTGTCAGCCCTGGGGGATTCCTTCTGGTTCCCACCATCGCTCCACTCCCCCTCATCGTAACAGCCCCTCTCTGCTCGCTCTTGTGCTGACTCCTGGCTTTGGGCTTTGTCCTCCTCTCTGCAAAGGCCACATGGGCTGCTGTGATATGCAAGGGCATTTCCCGAGCGCCAAAACCCAGCACTCATGCTCAAAATGAGGACAAGAAGAACTGTGTCAGGAACAGGCCAGGAATACATAGACACTTGGTTGACAGAACCATGGTGAATCAACCGGTGAAGAAGTAAAACCAGCGAGCGCCTGATGGACTGGTCGGAGGAGAGGAGGTGCTGGAACTTCAGGATCTGCAGGGAGCCAGCCAGGTTTTCAAGCACTTTCTGGTTGTGCTCAGCAGTGAGCTCCACTGCACCCTGCAGCATGTTGCAGAGGGTAAGCTGAGAAACATGCGGGGAGCTGTGGAGCAGTGGTGAAAAGTGGTGGTCGTTGAGACGCCAGTCAGAGGAAACATCCAAGACACCATGAAGAACGTTTGAGAAGAACGTTTCAAGGAACTTCTTCCTCCAACAGGTTATATTCTGCAATTAAACAGTAGGGCCAGGCCATATTAACAAAAAGTCAGTCACAATTTTTCTCATTCTTTTAAGTTAATTATTGTTACCTGCTAAGCAAAAGGTACTGCTAGCGCAACTGTGAATAGCTTCCTAGTTCTCAACATCCTTCCTCAGCGTATTTGTTCAAAACCAGAGTCACTTCCATCGCTGTCTCTTTTATCCTGCTTCTTACCTAATTTAAAAATATTCAGTGGTTTGAAGATAAGACATTTTTTTGCCTATTAAAAACCACATCATCAGGAATTTTCTTCCCGAGCGTCTATTTATAGGCTGTGATTAAGTCGCCTGTTAATGATTCTTTTGCAATGCTGAATTAATGAAGCTGCTTCAGTTTTCCTACAAAAAGCCATTCTTACTGTCTTCTGTAAGTATTTTTCTAGTGTTTTCTAAGACATCTGAACATTTTTTTGCCAGCGTAGGCGTAAGCATGATATAAGACACTGGTTTTATCCTCTGTTTCCCCAAGAATTACATCTCTAAAGAAAGGATTTATTCTTTCGGCAAACTCGCTGTTGTGAGACGAAGGGTGTGGCTGTACACTACAATTCATTTTATGAACACCGTTTCCCAAAATGATTGTACTACCAGGGTCATGCCTTGGTCCAGAGCTCATAAACAAGCGCCAGCAAGTGCCTGGAGGTGGCCAGCAATACCAGCAGGCTTAAAAATGAAACCTCATGGAAAACAGCAGAAACGGGGCATCTGTGTCGTGCCCCTTCTCCCACCGGCAGTGTCTCCTCACCTCTGAGTTGGGTGGCCTGGTTTTCATCACATCGTCCCACAGCTTGCGCCAGATGGGCTGCGTCGAGAGGCCTGGGGGAAAAAAAAAAAACCAAACAAACAATCAACCAGGTGCCTTCACCCCTTTACCCTGACCTGAGTGCCCTGCCCCGGAGCTCGCAGGGGCGCTGGGCGGATAAGGGGCAGCACTGGGGGGCACAGATGCAGACCCCTGCAGCAAAAGGTTGGTGCTTTGCGGTGAAGGGGAGACCACCGCCTCTTACGGGACGGGAGTTAAAAAAATAGCAGGTTTTGTTGGTCCTCAAAAGAAGCGAAGTTACAGCAGGGCCTGCACGGCTGTGTGAACCCTGCCTGGGCATGGGACGGGGCTCGCGGGTTTGGGTGCAGGGAGGGATCCAAGCCCTGGCGGCAGGGCCTGTGCTCCGGGGGTGCCTTCCCCCTCCCCGGGACCGCCATTCCCAGCCTGGGGAGGTTTATTCCTCCAGCGCGGGCTCCCCTCTCCGGCCGGGGGTCCCTCCGGTGTGGGGTTCACCCCCCAGGGCGTGTGGGGGTTCACCCCCCAGGGCGTGTGGGGGTTCACCCCCCAGGGCGTGTGGGGGTTCACCCCCCAGGGCGTGTGGGGGTTCGCCCTCCCGCCCGGGAGTACCCCCAAGGGTTTGTCGCCGTCCCCGCCGGTGTCACCTGCTCTCCGCGCAGCGCCCTCGGCCCGTTCGAGGCGGAAGACGGTGAGAAGCGGCAGGAGCCCCCGCAGGAGATGCCCGGGCAGCGCTGCGGAGAGCCAGAGGGAGACGGCGGCAGGGTGGCTGGTGGGCAAGCCCCGGGCCCCGCCGCCCCGCCGCCCCGCGCCGCTCCCGCGCCTTACCCCAGACGTCCCGCTCCAGGGCCCCCATGCTGCGGCTCACCGCCGCCGCGCTCAGCGCGAACAGGCTACGCGGCTCCTCCGCCGCCGCCATCGCGCCGCTCAGCGCCACCGCGCCGCCGCCATCTTGAGAAGGCACCCCGCCCTCCCGCGCGCCGCCGCCGCCGCCATCTTGGAAGGAGGAGGAGGAGGAGGAGGAGGAGGGAGCGGGCGGCCATGTTGGGGAGGTCGCGCCGAGCCCTTCCCACGCGTGGCCGGACGGGCCGGGAGCGGCAGCCAGACCGATGCTGCTCCACAGTCGCGATCCCCAGGAAGGAAAGCAAAAAGAAGGCGGCGAGGAGCGGAACTGTTGCGATCTGGAGACGGTCACTGGCGCAGCCGCCGCCGGCGGCTGCCATGTTTGGAAGGGACGCCCGCAGGCCCGAAGCACCGCCCCGTGAGGGAGCGGGCGCCATGGCGCTGCGGCGGCCCTTCCGCACCCGGGTCGGCGGTGGCCCTTCCGCCGGGTGACCCTGGCGAGTCCTTCTGGGCGGTGGGAGCGGGGCGATGGGGCTGCGTGACACCGTGGTTCACGCGGGGGAGCCCGAGGTGAGCGGGGCCGGGCCGGCGGGGGGGGTGCACTGAGGCGTTTTGGGCGAGCGGACGGTTGATAACGCCTGTTTTTTGTTGTTTTTTTTTTTTCCCCCCGTAGGAGGAGGAGGAGGAAGAGCTGGTGGTAAGATGGGGAGTGGGGCCGGGGGACCCTGGGCCGCCCCTGCCCGGGGAGCTGGCAGGCCTCGCTGGCGGCGGGGGAGGTTTGTAGCCTCTGCAGTGACTCGTTGCTCCCACGGGGTTGATGACCGGTGCCTTTCAGCACTGACAAACAAACTCGCAGGGATTTCGGGCCCCTGTCACCACTCTGTGCTGGCGAGCCAAAGCTCAGCGAGGAGGCAGCTGGAGTCTGGGCTTTGATGTGGATGTGTGGCTCCCCCTGAAAGCTGTGGGTCTCAAAGGGGGGAAATGGCGTTTTGGGGTCTTTCCGTTCTCATGTCAGCCTTGTGCCTGCAGGATCCTCTAACCACGGTCCGGGAGCACTGCGAGAAGACGGAGAAATGCGTGAAGGCACGGGAGCAGCTGGAGCTGTGTGATGCACGGGTGTCCTCCCGGTCCCAGACAGAAGAACAGTGCACAGAGGAGCTCTTTGACTTCCTGCATGCCAGGGACCACTGTGTAAGTGCAGCACTCGTGGATGCAATGCTCCTGCTGGTGTGGGGAGCAGAGCTGCCTTTAGCTGCACTTCTGGGAGTGCAGACAGTTCACGTGTGAGAGGTGGTAGCTCTTGAGTCCCAGTCACAGTGAGCTCTGAAGACCTCTGAGCCTTAATGCTTGCTCCTGTTAAATGTTTGGTTCCTCCTTTGTTAGTTTTCTTGAATGACTTATTGCAAAACACTAAAAGCAGCAGAGGGCTGTGGGGCCATGTGCCTTAGTGGCCGAGAAGGCCAAGAGACGGGTGGTAACACCCTGCTGATTTTCAGCCCTGAACTATGAATTACTGAGTGCTTTGTCTCATTTTTCCAGGTTGCTCACAAACTCTTTAAGAACCTGAAGTGAAGGCGGGCTTGATTGTCCATCTGCTTCTACAGGCGGTGTTGGCAGTTTCTGTGTTCACAGTACTGCTTCCCACCCGTTGATTCTCCATGCCAAGTATAAACGAAACGGCTTCCTGGCAGCGACCAAGCATCCATGTGTCACTGCGTTTGTTCTTGTGGAAGATGTGCAGCTGTGCAAAAAACATGTTGATGTTCTGTAATTTTCCATATTAAACAGTTCCCATGGAAATTCCTTCCTTTTATTTCCCAGTTCTTGTGCTTCTGATTTGTGCTGGTTTAAGATGAAATCAGTGGGTGTCAGAGCCCAGTTTGTGGGGGGAGGCTTTTCCTCACTTGCGGGAATGTCTGTTTTGTGCAGCTGTAATGCACAAGAGCCTGATCCCACAGGGAAGAATTTGTCTGTTGGAGCCACAATTATTTCCAAGCCCCACTAGAACAGTACTGTTCACTCAGTGAGTTCTGACCAAGTTAAACTAAAAGGAGTGACACTTTTCTAGGAGAGAGGTTTCCCCTGCTTGGGGGAAAACGGTCAGCTGTCCTTCACTGTCACCTGCTGCTGTCAGCAGCTGAAGAGCCTCCTGGCCATGGGTGGCTTTGCCTTCTTGCCCAGAAGGACAGATCAGACGGGCAGGGTGGTGGTTCCACCTGCTCAAGCCCCAAGCAGAGCGTGAAGGGTCACCTGAGGGGAACTAAAACCCTCCCTTGTGGGTCACCAGCCCCTCCTGCTGACCCGGGACTGTCATGTGGAAGGGTCAAGCTCATTCTCCGCCTGTTTTTCTTCGGAGCAGGATGTTTAGTAGCAGGAAAACTGGGATGTTTAACAAGGCAGCAAATCCTTTATCAGTTATTCTTCAAAGTGGAAAAAAAAAAAAAAAAAAAGCACTGCTTTTCAAATTGGGCTGTTCTTTATCAGTGTAGCAGTCCACAACCCTTTTGCTGGTGGATTTCAACTTTAATGCCTAGGGGATTGACGTGGAGCTTTATTAAGAGTAACGTCATTTCAGGAGGTTTGGGTGTATTTTTTTTTTTTTTTTTTTTTTCCCGGCTGCGTGCGCGTTTCTCCTGCCGCTCGCTCCTTTCCAGCAGCCGATGCCCACCCCCGTGTCCCCCCCCCCCGCCCCCCCGCCTTGCCGCGGCTCCTCTGCCCGCGGAGGCCCCGCGCGGTTGTTCCCGGCTCGGCGCGCGTGGGGGGGGGCGCGTGCAGCGGTGCGCGGGCCGGCCCCGCCCCGGAAGGCGCCGGGCCGGAGCGCGGGCGATGGCGGCGCTGGGCCGGGCCGGGCGGGGGGCGGCGGGGCTGCTGGGGCGGCGGGGGCCGGGGCCGGGGCCGGGGCCGCGCCGCTACCGGTACAAGGAGAAGTGGGTGAGCGGGGCCCTAACCCGGCCGTGTGTCCGTCCCCCCCGCCGCGGGGGCTGCCCCGCACCCCTCTCTTTTCGCGCCGCTAACCCTTGTTGCACCCCTCTGATCTCCCCATTTCACCCCCTTGCCACTCTCGCTGCACCCCGTCACCCGTTACACCCCCCTTAACACCGCTCCGTGCCCACCCCGTGCCCCCCCAGCCCCCTGCAGCCACTCCCGGCCCTGACCCCTCCCCCAGGGGAGCACCAGCCCACGGGTGGCGGGAGCACAGTCGCTTCGTGGGGCCGCAGAACGGCCCCGTGGACTTTTTGCAGCACAGAAACTGGCGCTGGGTTTTCCCAGGAAAACATCGAGGCTGCAGGGAGGAGGGTGGGGGGGGCCACTGGGATGTCAAGATAATGTCTTTTAACCTGACTGATATTTTTTTTCCCCCAAGGCTGCCACAGCGCCCCGCATCCCGTCCACGCGGCTGGCCCTGCACCACTTCGACGTGAACTACAGCCTGCAGCTGAAGGACCTGTGGCCCTCTGTCCGCGCCGGCCTGCTCTGCGAGCAGAAGTACGGTGCCCTCATCAACAACTTCTCTCATGTCGACCACGTCACCCAAGAGCTGGAGCTGCTGAATGCCACCGATTTTGTTTCCGAAGCCCTCAAAAAGGCGCAGCGATTGCAGCGGGGTGCAACCGTGGAGGAAGTGGGGAGGGAGGAAAGCAGTTCCCCGGAGGGGTCTGGCGAGGCCAGGACGGTGACGCAGGCAGAGATGATGACACAGGCAGAGACGTCACCACCGCTTCATACCTCCATCAGCTCCAACATCAAGTGTTACACCTTCCCCAGGGGTGACATCACGCGCTTTCACCCTGCACGGTGAGACATCCCTGGCACAGACTGCCCGCTGCCATTGCCAGCCTCGGGGGCTGCAGGTGTGTGAGCACCCGCTGCTCCTGTACGGCCCCATCCTCACTTCTCACCACTGCTTTCTTTTCCCCTTGCATGTTTGCTTTTTTTTTTTTTTTTTTATGCAAACTGGTGATTTCCAGGCCGAACGTTCTGGGTCTCCTCGGCTATTTTCTCATGGATGCAGCATCTCTCCTGCCCGTCCTGGCGCTTAACGTGCAGCCGGATGACTTTATCCTTGACCTCTGTGCGGCTCCGGGTGGCAAGACACTGGCGCTGCTGCAGACTGGGATTTGTGGTAAGTGGAGGTGGGTGTTCCTTGTCCATGTGCGTCAGATGGGGCTGTAAGAGTGTGCTGTGCCCGTTAATGTCTGACCGTTAATCGTTTCTGGTTGTCGGAGTTGGGAATCGGGTGTGGTTTTGCAAGACTGACCTTCACAATGTGCCTGTGTCGTCCTCTCAGGGCATCTGGCAGCCAATGACATCTCCATTTCCCGAACAAAGAGGCTGTACCAGATTCTCCATAGCTACATTCCCGCAGAAATCAGGGAAACTGTGAGTGTCACGTCCTGCGATGGAAGGGACTGGGAGCAGCTGGAAGGTGGCACTTTCCATAAGGTAGGTGATTGGGAACTGGTGAAGATAAAGCCATCCAGTTCACTTTCCTCCTGTTTCAGAGAAAGACAGCAGCTTATCCTAAAGTATAATTGGATGGTTTTCCATAATCTTAAATGCAGAGAAAGAGAGAAGACTAAGCCACATATGCAGTAATATTTCCTCCTGCTATCCCCTTCCTGCAGGATCTGGTGCATGTGGGCATCTGGAGTTGTACCTTTATTTACCTGTGTATTACCTCTTAAAAATCCTGTTCTAATCTATCACCTGGAAAGAATTAAATGTCAAGATTTGGTAATTCTTGTTTCGCAGCCATGTTCAGCCGTGGGGGCTGGGTTTGTGTCACTGGGACACTCTGGGAGGTGTCGCTGCAGGAGCTCTGGCCGTGTGTGGTTGCAGCCGTAGGTGCTGCAGCAACACCTACCAGGAAGATGCGCTGAGTAGAAACGTTAAATGAGGACACGTGTGAGAGTGTGGTGCTATGCACCGTTTCTGTGTCTTATTTGCACGTTTCCAAAATGCAAAAGCAGACGGACAAGTTACAGTTCAGTGTGAGTGCAGACCTGTGCGTGGGCAGCATCAGCTAGGCAAGGTACCGAGAGCTGCTTGGTGCGTGGTAAGGGTGGAGGGGTTGGGCGAGGGGCATGTTGCCCTGGGAGACTTGCTGAGCTTGGCCTGGGCCCAGGACTGGTGGAGGATCTCTGCTGCTGCAGGTCCTGGTGGATGTGCCCTGCACGACAGACAGGCACTCTGTTATGGAGGAGGAGAACAACATCTTCCACAGGAGACGAACCAAGGAGCGTCAGATGTTGCCCATGTTGCAGCTGCAGCTGCTGATGTGAGTGAGCTCGATGCTGTTTTGCTGCCATTTGTGTTATGGTAGCAGCTCTCCATGGCCAGCACTGAGGATTCTTCTTGCTTTTTGTGTCCCTGACTGGGAAATGTGGAAACCACGTGTAGTTTTCTGGAATGGCAATAGTTGAACACATCAAATCATAGTAAGTGTAAGAATGTGCCCATGTTCTCAGTCACATCAGATGTCCTTCCTGTCCCCAGAAGTAGCCATAGGAGGTCGTGAGGAGGGTTTAAGGAACAGGATGGGTATAATGTTGTCCTTTTGCATGATGATCACCCGGGTCCCAGCCATCAGCCCTGAAGGATTCCTGAGTGTCCACATCTTCCAGCACATGGGAGGACATTGGGGTGCTTTGTCACCCCATTTCACTGGGAGGGCTGGATGGGCTGACTGCAAGCTGGGGAAATAAGGAAAAAGTTTGGAGAGTCCCATGGCAGTGCTTGAACTGCGAGAGCCTCTGCTCCTGTACATACTCTTATCCCATTCCCTTGGAGGAGAGTGCAGGATTACTCATTCCAGCTGCTCTCCAGTAGCATCTCTCCCATGTTAGGTACTTTATCTATCTAAGCATCTGTTTGACCCATATTGCCCTGGTCTAATTCACTTCTCAAGTTGCAGTGAGACTGCTGAGCCTGTGGAGTTCAAGATTTTTCTCTTACCTCCTATGAGTTACATGCTGGCTTCCCAGTTTTGGTGGGTGGGAATGCTGGTGCCCCCCTCAATCCTCTTCTGCACATGATGGTGTGTGTGTGTTCATTTTGCCTGCAGGGCTGGGATCCTCGCTACCAAGCCGGGAGGAAAGGTGATGTATTCTACATGCTCCCTCTCCCCGCTGCAGAATGAGCATGTGATCGAGAGAGCGGTCGAAATTGCAGAAACCCAGTTTAACATCAGTATCCATGTTGAGGACTTGAGCCACTTTCGGATGCTCTTCCAGGACACGTTTTCCTTCTTCTCGGATTGCCGGCTGGGGGAGCTTGTTCTGCCTCACCTCACAGCCAACTATGGACCTATGTATTTCTGCAAATTATGTCGGATGTAGAAGGGATGACAGACTATGTCTGCCGGCTATCAGGAAATGCCCCAAGTTTCCAGGGAAAGCAAAGCTGCTTTATGTTTATTTTTCTTTTTAAAATGTCCCAAAGGAAGTCTGCTTTTTTACTGCAGACATAGACAATAAATGAGAACGGCCTTCTGTGGAGTCTTCTGAATATTTATTTGTTTGAGGCTGAGGTGTTTAAGAGAGAGAGGTCTTATCAGAGGGAGTGATTTATCCATCCATCTCGGGACGGGATGAATGGCCCTGTGTGGATGCTGCTCCCTCCATCCTGTCTGACTGTTTTGATCCTACATGAGCAGGTTTGGGTTAACAAACACCATCTGGGGATCTCAGCCTTTCTGTCCCAGATCTCATCATCTGCATAATTGAGTCGTATCTGTCTGCTTATCTCCTACCTTCAGAAAGAGCAGCCTGAGGTCCTGAAATACGAGGTTCCTAAGAATGCCCCTGCTGTGAGGTTGTAAATGTGCTTGGGATGTTCGAGATCTGGTGGTGGAAAGAGCTTGGTGCTGTGGAAAAGCCAGTGACTGTTGCCATCCCTCATGGACAGGAAAGCTGTGGTTGAGAGGGGAGGTGTGAACACTCCCATGCTAGATGCCATTTAATGTCCAGCAGGAAGGTGTTTGTATGATTTTGAGTAATAACTGCATTCATATAATAGCCATTAGTGAAGGATTACTGGAGTTTATGATAAGAGTTGCTTAATAGCTACATTTTTATTTTTTGTGAGCAAAATACAGTGATGGGGAGGGTAGACATGGCTGTATTCCTTACAGGGCAGCCCATGGTTACATCCAGATGAAGCTACTCCAGTGCCAGCAAGAAAATACTATTGAACTTTAGTAATCCTTTTCTCTCAGCATCACCCTGCTTTGGCAAGAGGCAGCATAGGTGAAAGTGAGGGTGAACACACATCCATGTCCATCCTTCTAGGAAGGTACAGTTCATAGATCTATCATCGTTTGAACCCACCTTAAGCCAGTCCTGCCCTCTGCATGGCATCTTGGTTCCTTACAGGATCTGTGCTTATTGACAAGCAAGAAGTGGCTTTTCCTTCCTCATTCCCTCCTCGCTGTATTCTCTGCACTGCCAGTGGCAAAAGAGAGGTTGTGCGGTGCTGTCCCGTTCACCTCACCTCTGGCCCTGCAGGCGTTGGGAGGGTGGAGGCTATGCCGCTCTCTTCTCATGGCTGAGGGTCTCCACCTCCTTCATGAACCGGAGGCACAGCTCCTCCCGCCACGGCAAGGCCACGCACTGCACAGCCACGGGCAGCCCCACGGCTCCTGCCACAGCCTGCAGCGGGGACACAAGCAGTGAGGGGTTACCTGGGGGGGGGGTCAGACCTCCAGCAGCTTTTGGAAACATGGTTTAGGCACTTGGCTTGTCCCGGAGAGTGGGGAGGTTGGGGGCTGATCCCTGCTATTCAAGCAGAGTTGGTGCACAGGGGCAGAGGGAAAGCTCTTGCTGTACTTGTGATAGAAATGGTTATCAAATCTTAGGCAGCGTGTTTAGGACACACCCCCCTGCCCCATCCTCCAAGCCAGCTCTGCTTTGATCTGTTTTGCATCCAGATCCCTTTTCCTTCAGCATCCTCATTCCTGATCCATGCTCTGCAGACATCCTGGGCCTGGTGAAGGTGTCACGGAGCAGGAGGAAGGTGCAGTGCAGTGCTGTGGGCTGTGGCCGTCACAAGGACGCACTCCAAGAAGCGTTGCTGCATGGCTTCTTTCTGGTTTCAGCCTATAATCCAGCGTGGGGGGTACTCCCCCAGTCCCTCCAAAGCTTAATGACTTTGTTTTGGGGGCTTGGGAGAAAAGGGATTTGCAAGGGGTTTATAAAGAAGAGGTGAATGTTTTTGCACTGTGCCCTTACTGATGGAGAGATTTAGGAGCCCCTGATTTCACTGAAACTGTTACTTGAACATCCATCAGCAGTCTCTGCTCCACCACTTTCTGTGTCACATACCTGTTTCAGTGTCCGGTCCCAGGGGTCATCACAGCATCCTCGGTAAAGCTTTAGCTCTTCCTCATCAGCTTCTGTCACCGTGCTGATGGGTACAACCCCAGCGGGGAAGTTCAAGACATTGTACAGCATCGTGGAGGAGATGGCAGCTGAGAGAAACAGAAGAGAGGATGCAGGTAGTCACAGCCTCCTGTCTTCCTTCAAACTTATACTTTATACGTTCACTGAAACCCCTGAGAACCAGCTGCTGCTGGGAAGAGAGATTGTACAGGGCTGGTCGTTTGCAGGTCCAAGTTCTACTGCAAGAAACAACAGCTACCAGATCACTTCATGTGTCTGTCTCCATCTGCTCAGATAGTTTTATGGTAGTTATTTTTCCTTCCTAATGACTATAAAATGCTTAGGTGGGCAGTGAAGCTCCGTGGTAGAGGACATTTCTGTCCAGTCTCAACCACTGTGGTCTTCTGCCCTCCTGGGAAGGTCCCAGAGTCACTTACTGAGGAGTTTCCCGGGGTATCCCGTGGTGAAGGCAGGCCCCAGGACAGGGCACAGCACAACATCAAGCTGGAGTTCTCTCCACCGGGCGATGAACTCGGTGCGGTATGCCTTGGAGAGGAGAGAGGAGATGACATGGAGGCCATGTCCGCTCCTGGAGCATCTCAGCTTCTCCAGGGTATGCACCAGGCTCTGGCATGGCCAAGAAGGTAGCAGCAGGCAGCTGTGTTCAAGGGAAGAGGCAGGGGAGCGGGTAAGTGCCTGCCTCCCCAGCACACGGCCAGACTATGCCAGGAATTGGAAGGTCCCTCTTTAGCTGTCCCCACTCCCAGGACAGTCTTCGTTGTGTTGGGACCATCAAATGTGGGCATTTGGGCATGAGCACTGTGGGCAACCAATTCCTATCTCTCTTTTGTGCCTTTCCCTCTGTCTTGTCTCCTCCCCAGCATCCCTCTGCACAACCTCTTTCATAGCTGATGACCCTCTGACCTGGCACTTGCCACAAAGCCTCAACTCATAACATCATGCCAGAGAAAAAAGTCCTCAAAACACACCTCTATTTGATGGTGATGATTCCACATCTCCTTCACCGACCTGCAAGTGGAAATTGTAGCGATATTTTTAAGCTTTAAGAGGAGGAGGAATTGCTTAAATAATTCTCCAGGTTGATAAACTCTGTGATTTTAGCAATTAATTAAAACAATACATTTTTCACGATTTGTCTGAAGTTTCCTTTGGCATTTGGTAAAGCAATTAAGCAATGTATGTCTGGAAGTGGTAGAGTGGAGGTTTCACTTGTGGGCCTGGATTTAGTACTCGTCTCCATCCCAGGCTTCCTGTATGACCTTGTCTTTCCAAGTCCCTCAACCCATTCAGGATAACACTAGGGGCAGTGCAGCACTGCGGAGATGTGTTCCTAAAGGCTGAAGCCATGTCCAGGATGGAGGGACAGACCCTGCAGGTCAGAGCGTTGTTGTGAATCCAGTCCCTCCCACCATGGACACTTAGGGGAGAAGGCACTGTTCATTTTCATGGACAGCCCTTGGGGGTGATGCTGTCTTACCTCATTCCACCCAAGGCGCTCAGATAGTCAGCCAGGCGGGGAAACTGGAAAGGCAAGAGGTTCCTGTTAGGGACATGACATGGTGGGTGCAGTAACTTGTGCCACCACAGGAAACCCCTGGTCCTGTCCTGCCTCTGTCCCTGGGGATGCTGCACTGAGGGTGAACGATGATGATTAAAAATGCTCCCCATTGTTCTGAATTTACTTTGCTTCCAACTTCTGGTTGTTGGTTCCCGATTTATTTCTTACAGCTCACTATTTCCTGCTCACAGAGGAATGCACTGACATGAACCAAGTTGCCTTTCATTATTTTTGATAAATCAAACATTTTTTAACTTGGTATCTCACAGAAACGAGACCTCTAGAAGCAATTTGATTGCCTCCCACTCACCGCTACCTTTTTGATCCTGTCAGCTGAGAACAACACAATAGGACAGAGAGGCAGAGAAAATGGAGGATGGAAGAGAGAAGCCCTACAAAAGGATGCTCATCTGGTGAAAGGGCTACAGTGAGGGCCAGCCCTCATTAATCACCACGTGTCCCCGTGAAGGTGTGCTCTTTGGGAGGCATCCAACACAGGGATAGATCTTCAACCTTGAGTCCCTCTGCTGCAGTAATCCCAATGCATGAATCTGTAGGAAACTGGGCACTGCTAAGTCTAGGGTTTGAAGAACCACCTGCTGTGGGCTCTGCATTAATATTTTTCAGCTCTTGGCTGGTCCTTCTCTCATTTCCCTGCACTGGATGAATCCCAGCAGGGGTCTAGAAGAGACCTCCCAAAGTGATAGCATGTGCCTTGGCCTGAAATCTCAGAGTTTCTAGTTAAAAGTGTCTCTCAGCACCATCACAATTTCAAGCACCTCAAGGCTTAGCTGACACCATTCTGCTCTGAGCCTGAGGCCAGGGACTCACCAGAGGTTTAAGAATCAAAGCCAGCAGCTTCTTCCCCAGCCTCGGGATCCTGCAGCAGTTCACCTGTGATTTCAAGTTTGGATCTACAATATCTCCTGTGCTGAGACACGACAAGCGGGGGGGATCATGTAAGAGAAGCTGTTTTCCCTTTCTCAGGAAACTGAGTATCTCTTGTTTGGTGTGGGAGAGATGGGCTTGTTTTGCCTCTGCGTTGTGCTCGGGGGTGTGGGGACAGAAGCGTTTTACAGCACTGCTGCCAGAGGGCTCATACTTACAACATGTCCAACCAAGAACGGCCTCCATCAGCAAAAAATGTCTTCAAAAACAGTTCAGTCATGACATAGTGGATCCGAGGTGGAGAAAAGGGCACCAGCTGCACCAAAACACAAGATTATGTTGCAGCCTGGGGATGTAAATAATTTCCAGGCCCAACTGTGGATATACTTCAAAGGCAGAGCAGCACCTCCCTGAGCTCCACACGCCAACAGAGGTCCCAGTTCAATCCTCTACCAGCCCAGGCATCTCCCTGTGGGATTATTCCTCCCTGACAGCCGTTTGGCTCAGCATTGAGATCCCTCCAGAGCCGTTTCCTCCTCCATTCTGCTCCAGGCAGTCACTGAGACAGAAACTGCACCAAGTTTCCAGCCTGTCCCAGCAGAATTGGCACCTGCTTGGACACGGACTCACTTTGCTACGAAGAGCACCACTAGCGTGTTTCCATGGGTAGGTCTAGACAGAGGGAAAGGTGTTTCCCATGGTGTTTCCTATGGCCCTTTTCACTCAGTGATCAGGAGGGGCAGAGGTCTCTATGGGTATTGGGGAGGAAGGGGAAAAACACCTCTCAGAGCCCTGCTGGGGAAGGACAGACTGAGAAAATGTGGGGGCAACCTCTCAGAGTCAGATGCAGCACTTTATGGATGCCGCTGCCTGGTGTGAACCACAGCCACCAGGAGATCAGCGATGGATTTGTTACACTCCTGGCCCCTTGAAGGTACAAGCTTGCTAATTGCTAGTGCTGATTCCCCTTGAGATGCACTACTACCCCGGGTAGGTGTGCATCTGCATTGTGTTACATGGCTGTAGTAACTTAATCCCCTATCTCTGGTAGGTCATTTATCCCACGGTTGGGCTTAGAGGCTATGTCTGGTCTATGCAGGGTGATTTCAGCAGGAAGGAACAGGGCTGGGGACACCTCGGGGAGAAGAGCGCGGGGTGGTTGTGCTCACCTGGTGCCCCGCTGCCTGCAGAGCCCCCCGGGTTTCCCCCACCGCCCGCCGCATGCAAGGGGGCAGTGGGAAGTAGCCGTCTGTGTCGTAGTACCCGACCCGCAGTGGAGCAGAGCTGGAGTACACCTGCAGCAAAGCAGCCACCAGTTAAGCATTTCCAACCCTGCTGGGGGTAGGACTGCCCCCGTGCTGGATCTCACTGCAGAATGGGGGGGGGGGGGTAAAAGCTCCAGGTGTTGGGGAGTAACTAATTTTCTGTTTTGCTGCTTACACTTTCTGTAAGTTACCCTTTCCAAATGTCCACCCCTGCCTTTTCCTCCAGCCTCCCCTTCATCCCTCCCTTCAGATAGAGCACAGCCACGCAAGACCAGTAGATTCAACCATTGCTACATGGATAGAAGTGGAAAAACCTCCTGAAATTCGTCTGCTGCAGAGTGAAGGGAAGTGTCCTCAGTCAAGAGATTTGCTGCAGGAATTTCCGATCCTGTCTCATCTTCCCCTACAGATCTCCAGCTTTTTGCCCCTAGTGTTGCCTTCCTCCCCCCTTTGCTGGGGTTTCTCAATCTGATAAGCTATACACCAACTGAGAAGGCACAAAGGATACCTACCTATTAACCTATTTTTCCCTAATAATTATGACTGTGCCCTCAAAGAGAGCTAACAAGTTACTGGAAACCAGTACTGTAAAGATAACCAGACACTTAAAGATTCCATATGTTGAGCATGCAGCGCCCTTCCTGAATTAAGGACTCACCTTCTCATCAAAGGGGATGGGGGGCACGGTGGGGTCCAGCTGGAACATCTCCTGGCAGAGGAGTGCCTTCATGCATAGAGCCAGACTGTCCACATCCCTTGCCATCGGCCCCAGGGCAAGAGGAACTGGAGTGGGATGAGAGCAAACATCCACATTAAACAAGTGGGTGCACCAAACACTGGTCCACCCATCTGCACGGCCACATTGGGTGCAAGGGATGATCAGGTAATGAGGTGGGATGTTTCATATGGACTCTGGACAGATCTTGGTTGTCTCAGGCTTTCCTTAGGCCTAGGGGACGACACAAGGAGTCATCACAGCATATAGAGAAAAGCAATTAAAAATTCACGTACCTGCCAAGATCCCACTGAGTGGGCCACTTGCTCCTGACAGGCTGTGGGAAAAGAAAAATAAGTATATTGTCATTTCAGTAATGGTGAGGTATTCCCAATACATTTGAATAGCATAGTGGAGTCTCCAGTTCAGGACCTGAACCAGAAGAAAATTATTAAAAGTATTCGACTTGAGTCATGTGAAACAGAAAACCTTGGTCAAAATGAAAACAAAATAAACCTCAACAAATCTTAGTTTTGGCTTAACAAAAAATGTTCCATTTTGGGATTATTTAACCACTATATCCACATTTTCCTTTTAACCCCAGGCCAGATTTACAATGAAAACATGGACATTTCCCCACAGAACCTAACAACGCTGCCTCTTGGGAGAGGTTTGTGAGTGAAGCAAGCCAGCCTTTAAGAAACCGTCTTCTCTTTTCCCCCCAAGTACTCACTAAGTACCTTGCCCCTTCTGCTGAGTTTGACAATTAGCAGGCTCTTTGCAGGGTGGGAAGGGCAGACCCCAGCACCTACCTGAGCCTTTCAGCCGTGGGTTTGAGCCCGCACAGCCCGCAGAAGCTGGATGGCAGGCGGATGCTGCCACCAATGTCCGACCCGATGCCCAGGATGGAGCCTCCTCCTGCGATCAGAGCTCCCTCCCCTCCCGAGGAGCCCCCGGGACTCTTCTGGTGGTTGAAGGGGTTCAAGGTCTGGCCAAAGATAGGATTGCTGCAGTCATAGCTGGGGAGAAGAAAACCAGCAAGCGAGTTTTCAGGAACAGCCTGATGCCTTGAGTTTGTTGGCTCTCCCTTGCAGTGAGCTTATGTGGCACAGCCAACCCCATCCTTCCAGGCCATAAATGCCTCAGGACATGGCTCATTCCTCCGCTCTCCCTCCCATGCACAAATGCGCTTGATTTCTCTTATGTCATGGTAGAGATTTTTATCCTCTTAATCTTATCTGAAAGCTATTTTCAGTTGAACTGAAATTGTTGGCAACTAATGGAAGAGGGATTCGTTCAGATAACATCTCAGGAGACAGGAAGGAGCCTGTTCTGGGACCTACAGGCTGGGTTTTAACTTCAGGAGCACAACCAGAGGAAAGGTTTCTAATGATATATGTTACTTGAAGAGGGATTGTGGCACGTTGGTCATTGCAAATGGGATGGCCCCCTGCCTCTTCAAAACTTTTACTAGGACGCTGTCCTCCTGCACCAGAGTGCCCAGGCACTGCACAAGTCCACAGGTTGACAGATGCCCCTGTAGAAAGAGGTGACATCAGACATAGTCAGCACAGTTCCCCTGCAGTTTTGGAAGGATGATCTGGTGTCCCCTTTGGGGGGCAGTGGGGAGTGGGTACTAACCCACTCCCTTGCAAGACCTTGCATGAAGGGTCAAGGACTCCCTCTCCTTCCATCCTTGGCATACAACTGCCAAGCATCCATAGGGTTAAGGCTTCTCCTGAAGCTCTCCTTGCTCTTTTCCATGACGTTTCTCTCCCTCCCCTGACCCAGATTCAACTCCATAGGTACACTAGCTCAGAATCAAACCCCGTGTGCTGCTGTCAAAGTGAAGCCACCAGTGGATGTTCAAGGAGGGAATATACATCCCAGGCAAACACAGTGTGATCCTTTTTTCAGCTAGCCTTAGTGTCTGGGGCTTGATTTGAGCCCTCTTAACTGTGTTGGTAAGTCAACATGGAGGAAACCACCTAACAAATTCAGCTCAGGAGTGTGTGCTCAATCCTCATCAGGGCGTGCCTGTGGGAGGGTCCCTGGTGCATCTCATGCACAGGCTTATTGCTAAGTGGAACAGTGGTCAGGATACAGCACAACAGGGATTCAAGGTTAATGATTCTGGCTACTAATGACTTTATAGAAGCTGAGTGATGTTCTTATCCCCAATACTGCAACCTTCTGCGTAGAAGTCTAAGTTATGGCCCAAATGACCATGTAGCCCAGCCTGTGCTGTCTCACATACCAGAGAAGAAATTATTTGGGTGTATAACTATTCATCTCTTGTTTTTTTGCTGATGGAGATGTCTAACTGCCAGGGTTGCAGCTTCAATGAGATGTGAGGGCAAAGCCTCCGACCCAGCCAGGCTTCCCCTGGTGTAAGAAGGAGGGGATCAGGCCCCTTCCCCACTCTCCATGTCCCACCACTTCACCACCCAGCCCAGCCCACGATGGGACACTTCACAGGCACAAAGGGAAGCACCTTGTGGCCAATGTGATCCTTGATGCTGACGGGGATGCCGTAGAGCAGCCCTTTCTCCCTCTGCTGTTGTATTTCCTGGAGCTGCTCCTCACACTCTGGGATAAAATGTCGCAAGCAGTTTGTCTGCTGGGTCACTTCCAGGGCCTTTGATGGACACATGGGGAAATAGGTGTTAGTTAAGAACAGCACCGTTACACAGCGTCATTCAGTAGCTACCTGGATCTTCAAAGCGAGGGCTGGTGGATTGGCATGAATGGTAAACCCTTCCCCCGAGCATCCCAGCTCAAGTGATCTCAAAGGACTGTCCAGTGGTGGGTCTGACCCAGGAGACAAAGACACCTCTGCTTTTTCATACCTTTCTCCTGATAGCTGCTATATTAAAGACACGTCATAATCACCAGCTCCAGCAAGTCTTCCCGGTCACCAGCCCACACACCATGGTATGGAGAACGTAAGTGATCTGCCCATCACACTGAGGACAGGCACTCACCTTCTCTATGTAGGTGTAGAGGACAGTCTTGGGGGACAGAGACCCTTCTTGCAGTCTCCCAGCAAGTTCCAGCAGGGGCAAGGACAGGATAGTATCTGTCTGGACACTGGGGACCTGCAAGGGGAAGATAAAGGGGATGCCAGGACAGCACCTCCAGTTACTCTTTGGCTCAAAGTGGGTAAGTCTCTTAAGTTTTGTCAACATTATCAACAGAGCTCGCTGGAAAGGCAGACCCTGCATGTGGGGATTCAGACCTTGAGCTGCTGAGTGTTTCATCCTAAGTTTGGATGTCATGAACATGATGCAAACACAGGAGCCCAGCTGTCTCTGAAGGTGTAGAAGAGCTTCATGCACCCATTGTAGCAGAGGACAAGGCAATGCCTCACATCTGAATGTTCCTCCTGGCACTGTGGGACTTACCGACCAAGAGGTAACCTCAGCTGAGAAAATGCCAGCCTGGATAGAAGGTACCAAAATCCTTGCACACAAGTCTCAGGCTGGCCATTCACTCCTCAGAATAGGTACAGGCAGTGTGGGTCAGCCAGGTCTGAGGACAAATATCTAATAGCTCAAGCCCAGCAAACTACAAAGCAGTCAGTGGGGACTCACAGGTGGGCAAGGTCTACTCAGGTGAAGACTGGCAGTTCTCAGTGCCAACAGTTTTTTTTAAGGTTTTATATCATATTTATATATACATATATTTAAGAAAAAAGGTTGCAAAGGTATGTACCTCTCGTAGCTGGCATACTTTATCTCCAGATATGTTACCTGTGTAAACGTGAGCTGGTTTAACAAGCATCTACTCAGAAGCAAATGGAGGAGGAAGGAAAGGTAGTTAGAAATCATTCTTGCAGAAGGAATGCAGGGCCACATCCATGCTGGTTGGGTGCCTGCCTCATTTGTCCCCATGTCATGTCCTGGTTGCTCCCGGGGACACTGACTGCCCTGTGCTTCATTAGTGTTAAGTTAGGCCAAACATCTTCTGGGAAGCCTGCTGTCAGGAGGCTAGGAACCCTAGTGAAAGCTCTTCTGAAGACTCTCCAAGAAGCATACAGAAGCCAGGTTTTAGAGAGAAAGATATAGGGGTGTGGACAGGTGTGTAAACTTAAGAGTTAGAAAGTGGAAAAAGCTTTCTTGCTTCTACCCATAGAGGCAAGAGACATTTCTAGATCCCAAAAGAACTGGGTTTTGGATCAATGAAGGTCTAATGCTTCATCAGCTGTTTTGTCCAAAACCTCTTCTCGGTGAGTAATTTCCATCTCCCTGGGTGTAGACTCCCACTGCACCTCATCCGGCTGGAGGAAAGCAGTGATCTCCCTTCCTCCCAAGGCAGCCTTTCCTCATGTCAAGGGCTGCTGGCACATCCCTCCTGGAGTCCTTGTTATAAAAGCTATGGAGGCATGAACTGAAAGGAGGGGCTGAAGAACAACATCAGCAGACACCCCGGTGGGACTCAGACCCCCCAGAAAGATGGGTTACCTGCTCCCTGAACTGCTGGACAGCCTTTGCCATTTTCTTCACACCCTCATCCCGGGTCCTCTGAGCCTCTTCTATTTTCTTCTGGATCTGCCTTTTGCCCAGCCATTTCCAGACCACCACGGCTGCTGCTGAGCTGCAGAGCAGGGCAAAGACAGAAGAAGGATCTACCTCCCTCTCTGGCAGGAGCTGTCTCAGCTGGTGCTGGATCATAATGTGGCCTTCTGGTCTCCGGGGATGGAGTGAGAAAGAGGAGCAAGGCAGGAGCAGGAGACCTTCCCTGCCTCCCCAGACCTGTCCCTCCTCCCAGCACCACTGCCTTGGGTCAGCAAATAGTTTGTGAGTCCAAAGCTGACCCCTGCAAAGCTGCCTTCAGTGGAGTGTGCAGTGGAGAATAATTGACTGGGAAACAGAAAAGGTGAAGTTTGGTCAGTGAACTGTGAGATGTCAGATTTATAGGGGCTTTCTGGACTGTGGGAAGTTGTCTGCTAGTGAGGAAGGGCTGTGAGATCAGCTGAACAAAAGAAGCAAGGAAATAGCTGCTCTCTTATTTCCTGTGTAGCCTGAGAGGACAATGGGAGAAAGGGGAAAACCAGCTTGAAATCTCAAGACTTCCCTGCACGGGGATGGGGAATGGCATGACAAGAGGATGCACAGCTGTGGGATACCCACTCTCTCACCAAACCCCTTAGCCTATGCTGCTCCTGTGGTGGCTGGGGGCTGTTTCAGGACGCCTGTGGGATAGTGCTCAGAACTACCATGATGTCTGCAAGCACCAGAAGGAGAGGTTGTTCCACTCCATGACAGAGCATTGCTATTGCCTTAGGAGTGAAAAATTCCACAGGGTTACATGCCAGAAGCAAACTATTTCCAACAGCCATTGGGACAGCTAGTGTCTGAGTTCTTTCCAGCACAGATGCCTCTCACTACAAGCACACAAGAACTATGCACTGAGCTGAAGGCAACAACCCAGCCAACGTCAGCCCCAAAACAAATGCCATGGTCTGTCTGTGGTCTTCTCTGCTGATTATGGATGGTAGGTCCCCCTATGGGCCCCAAGTTGAAAAAGTTTTTTTGGCGGCTAAATTGTGCATTATAAAACTTTGCAAGGCTGCACTTGATGGCCAGAGGCCCAGACCCTGATCCTTCTCCAAGAAAATGTGGAACTGGATATGGAAAGGAAGGTGAAGAGCCTTCTCCCATCAGGGCTAGGTAGTCCTCTAATGCCTGCTTTGTCATCCATTGTCATGTCCATTCTTAGCGGTTTAACGGTTCATCGTTGTTTTCTGTAACAATTAGTGCCAGGAGGGAATGTTCTCTTTGTTCTTAACTGGGGAAATTTATGAAGGACTCTGAACAAAATTGGCTTTGGCATCCTCCAAGAAACAGTCTGGAGCTGACAACAATTAGTTATGTGGTAACAAATTAAGCTGGCTTTTTACTGTGTTCCCTTTCAGCGGCATCTCTGCTCAAGGGATGCCCCCTTAGCTGAGGCACTGCTGGCTCCATGAGAGCAGCAGCACGGGGACGCGCCTGCAGCCCATCCAGCTCCCGCTCCTGCCCGGTGGCGCTGGCTGCAGCAGGTGCCTCCGGAAGGTGCATGAGAACAGGGTGGGCATGCAGCAATGCCCGGCCCTCTCCCAGCCTCCCGGAATCCACGCAAGGCCTTCCCGAGGCAGAGGTGGGCTTTTTGCCTATGTGACAGCAACGTAACCTTTATGATGGGCTGAGCGGATATGGGAGGATTTTTTTTTCCCATGCTGGAAAGTGTCAGGGCGTTGGCTTCCCACAACCACTTGTGGGCTGGGACTTGTGCTCTGATCCTGCCCTTTAGACACTCTGCAAATGTTTAACGGAGACAGAGCCAGCTGCCTCCGGACTGACCTGGCGTTTCAAAGGGCAGATTTATTAGCAGGCACAGCTGCTTTTCCGGGTGGCTGGATGCTGCTGAGGAAGCCCATTTCCTATCAATAGGCGAGCATCTCCACCCCTCTTCGTGATCAGGACGTATGGCTTTCCCTGCCACTGCAAGGCCACACACAGCACGGCCACGGGCAGCCCCATAGCTCCCGCCACAGCCACGTCAGGGACACAGACAGTGGGGAGTGACTGGAGGGAGTGCAGGTTGAATTCATCCTCAGGACTGGGATGGTGCCAAAATCCAAGCCTGTTTTGCACCTTCTGAACAGACCTGCTGAGGCATTCCAAGAGCCATACGAAATTAAAGAGGTCCTGCCACGGCAGGGAGCAGCTACATGGAGGCAGAGGGGCTGGGTCAGAGTGGAGGACTTTGTGTGGACCCATCTCTAGGCAAAGGGGAGCAAGGATGCTTGGCAGAAAAGTCTGCTGAGAAATAGACCACTGTTCCCATGGGGAAACTGAGGCAGGGAAACAAAGGGATGTCCCAAGTCAAATACTTCCCATAGCAGAGGATACAGACCTGCCTGACTCACAGGTCAGTGTTCACTCTTCCACATTGCACTGGTGTGCACTAAACAACCAAGGCCAAGTGAAACATTTTTGCAATATTTTTCTTACCTGAATCAATCCAGGTCCAAGGTAAAACTCACCAGTGGAGTTAAGATGAAAGCCAAGATCCTTTTCACAAGAAGAGTCAGACTGTAGCAGCTGGTCTGGGATTTCATTGTAGCATCCACGACATCTCCTTCATTTTGGACCATCACAGAAAAAAGGCAGTTGGACCAACTCAGTCCACTCCTGTTCCTGGCAAGACCTGCACCACCTTTGCTTGCAAAAGCAAAACTGCACTGACTTAACTGTCATCACACTCCATCCAACACCTTCAGCTCTCAAGCAGGCTGGGTTTTGACAGAAATTTTCTATAACCAAAGTGTTTTTCCTCTAAATTGGTAATAATTATTTTTAAGTCAGCTTTGACTCCATTTTGATTAAAATAACAAAGAATAAATCCTGACAAAAACATGAACACGAGTTATATCTCATGTTCATGTTTTTGGAATCAAACACTCTGATGTGCTTTTTCAAAACAATTTGCAAAATGAGGTATGTTAACTATGTTCCTCTGAAAGAATTTTAAAGACATTTCACAAAACACTGAAATCACAGTGAAATGGGCTGGTCCTCTCTGAATAAGTTGTTCCAGTTGGCTCAGAGGATTGAATAAATACTTTCTGGGAACTCTTGTTTCTGACTCATTTCAGCCTGGAATATCTATTGGAAGCATGAAACTTTCCTCAACTGCAGTCCAACTTCACCAACGCTCACAGAACATAACAGCTGGCAAGAAACTTGTCACTATTTTATCTGCACCTTTCCAACAACCAAGAACATCGTTTGAGAGGTGAGGTTCTATAACCCCTTTTTTGTGTTGCTCAGCCAGGACCCTGTTGGCTCTCCCTGAATAAACTGCAATAGGATGGGGAGAGAAACCTCCCATACCAACCCTCACACCTCTGGCAGCAGGGGCTGCTTTCTCACCTGACCATCACTACATCTCTCCCATTTTTGTGGGTATTGCACTATTTTCCTTGAGCCTTTCCATAGGCACGTGGGATGTATGGATTCTACTTACAATTTCTCCAGCAAGGTAGAGACAACATCAGCAAAGAAGCTGCAGAGAGCCGTTAGTTCTTCACTAGAAGTGCAGGAGCATTCCTAATTATTCCATCATGCCTGGTGTCTTGCACAGGTCTGATCCCATCAAGTGACAGCAGAGACTTCAGTGCCCTGATGGTGAAGGACTGGGATGTTCCCAGATGCTGAATGGCTGGGCACAAAGCTTACAGCAGCAACTTGGGCTTTTCACCCGTCTCATCGTGGGCAAGCAGGGCAGGGGGAAAGCCAGGTGATTTGGGTGAAAAGTAGGAGAACAGTAACAGAAAAAACCCAAACAAACAAACAAACACAAAAGAGTAGACTGAGACTGTGCTTGGAGAGATGAGGATTTGTGTAGCTAACAGCTGTTTCAGGATGAAAGATGTACCAACCCTAATTCTTCCATTTTTGTATTTCAAGGGTGAGCTTTGCTATGTCAAGGTGTTTCATTTCACCTATTATTTAAACATTTGCTTCTAGATACTTCAACTACCTCCGCCCTTGAAACTTGTTTGAAATTAATGTCTGGGATCCTGGGGATGCACATGTCTAATGCCCTCTGCCACTTTCTGTTAGACTGGAGAGCTCTGTTTGCTTTGGAAACTGTAAGAGGTCAACTAACCTGTCCTAACAACTCATGTTCTGCTGGTATCAGTTCTTCTAGAGAGTTTTATTTGCTCCTGACGTTGTAACTATACAAAGTCTAACCTGCAAACTAAAGAAAAAACCCTCCAAACTAAAGTAAAACCAAATGAAAAAGCTGGATTGCCTGATAACTCAATCTCTGAACCTTGCTCAGTTACTTATCTTGCTGCAGAATTAAATGTGGGTTGAGGAGCGCAGATTTAAATTCTTATTAAAATCAAGACGAAGGAGGAAAAATGATCAAAGCAAAGACCGCAGATAGGATATTGTGCTGGAGATGAGAAAAACTAGTAGAAACAAAGCCTTTTTGGCCCAAGCAGCATTTCTACTTAATTCTCCGAGATAGACCAAAGCCTGGATTTTGGTCAGTGCCAGGCAGCTGGACAAGCACTCTGCAAATAAACGGTGCAGGTTTGCAAGGGCTGCACAGCCTGAGCCAACAGCTTATGATGGAGTTGTCACAGAAGGGTTTGAAACACAGTGGCACAGTGCTGGTGGGTGTGGAAAGGAGCTGACATCCTCTCTCAAGCCCGGAGGAGGTCTGGAGGAAGAACTCTTATACAAACATAAAGTTATGCCTTACTGAAGGTCTTTCCCTTTTGAGTTTCAGTGCCTGAGCTCATCAGACTGCTCTCAGCATTGCCCTCTCCACTCTTCCCCCACATTTATGCAGCAATGGCAACTGACATCATGGACAACCTGTCTTCAGAAGGACCCTGAGTTTTACTCAGGAAGGTGCTTTGCTCTCTGCCAAGCTGAGATACTTACCTGCTTTTTAAACTCCTGAAAAAGACCCCTATATCTGGTCAAAACCCGTGTCTTGCTTCCTCCACGCCTTGCCCATCTTATTCTGGACATGTCTACACCCCATCCACTTCAGTGCCTGGAGAGCTTTAGCTGAGCTGCAGACCAGGGCTGAGAGCACCCATGCATTCTGCTTCAGTATCTGCTGGATCCTAGTGAGAATTTCCCTTTGGGTGCTGGGTCCTGGGACCTAATGCTGTGGGATCCTGAGCTCTAATGACTGGCTGGAGGCAGAAGAAGGGAGAGCAGGAGGAAGGGTGAATCGCTTCCAGAGCCACACATAAAGAGCAGATGGAATGCAGAGCACAAGCATGCATGGGGAAATGCCTTTCAGAAATAGGACCTTTCATTTCATTCAGCCTTGCAAAGACATGGAGGGATACATGAGTGAAGGATACGGTCCTTTCCTTGCAAAATGAGGTCTGTGCATGCTCAGATCTAGCCAGGAATACTACCTGGGCAGGTTACCTGTTTAATGGCGAGCTTCCCATCTTCCCTATGAGGGGACAGCTAAAAATCCTTTGCTTCTGGCCTGAGATAGTCCCGCTCATTTGGCAGACTCCCGTCAGGCAGGAGCTCTGTGGCTGGTGCCACCCAGCAGCAGTCCTGCGGAGGCAGGGCATCTTCTGGGAGCAGGGCTGTGCTGTTGACCTTCTCCCTCCTCTGCTGAACAAAGGATGGTGAGTCAGGCTGAGGAGCCACTGGTGTGACTGTCACACACTTGCTGTGTGACTCAGACCTGCTTGTGATCCTGTGAGGCTGTTGGGTGACTGCAGCGTCCCTTGCACAACCCCAGGGAGGCAGATAAGTAACAAGAGCAGTGTCACCCCTTGGCCCTGTGGTTCTCTCTTCCTGTTGGGGAAATACTGCCTCCAGCCCCGGTGCCCGGAGAGATATACAGGCTTGGAGAGGGCATGGATCATTTCTAATGTTGGTGCCTTGTTTCAGGGCATATTTGCTTATTCAAAGCGTTTTGGTCTCCTCCATCACTCCCATCTTCCCTTCCAGCCTCTTCCTCTGCCTTAAGAGTGAAGGACAGGTCGAGAAACAGCACACAATTGTCACAGTGAGGTTGGAAGCACCAAATGCTGCAAATGGCCTAAATGTAGGCACAGAAATGCTTAAACTTGGGTTTCCCTCAAGTGCTTATAGGCAATGAAAAATCCCCAACCTTTTCCCATTGCTCAACTGGAAGAAACAATGACAAAGAGGAGTGAAGACAGACCAGTCAGCATTTCTCACAGCTTATGCTTAAACAGAGAAAATGAAGCTCACTACTCACCACAGAGCCCACTGACATCTTATGGTGTGGAGAGCAAAAGAGTAAATGAGTTCAGGAGGGGCCCAACAACTACATAAAGGAGAACTTTCCTGGTACCTATTAAAAATGATGGGCTGACTGCAACTCTTTGCTAAAAAGTCTCTTAGCCAATCAGTGGCACAGCTAGAGAGGGAATCCTCCACTTACCAGCTTATAGTCTCCCACAAACATCTGCTCCTGTCCACTGTTGAAGATAAAATGCAGGGGTAAACAGCTCTTTGGTCTCATATCATGCAACAGATATCGTTACACTACAATTATTGGACTCCTTTTGTCCAGCATTAACTTTCATTCCTTTCTTTTTTTTTCTTTTTTTTTTTTTTTTTTTTGACTCAGTTTAACAAAGAAGGACAATTTGGACAGAGATGAGATTTTTGCTGACTATTTTTAAACAGCATTCATTACAAGTTTATTGAAACAGTGGTTCAGAGTCTGCAAGTCGCTATCTACTTTGTTTTGTGCATCAGGTAGAAGGTGGCTCAAGTGAAGGGCAGGGAATGAAAAGTCATCATAGTGAAAGCAGGTTCCCAGAAATCACACAATTCTCTTTGTGCCGTGGGCAAGTGTCTCCACCTCCTTCATGAAGCGAAGGCACATCTCCTCCTGCCATGGCAGAGCCACGCATTGGACGGCCACCGGCAGCCCCACGGCTCCTTCCACAGCCTGCAAAAATTAAGCATGGTGCTGAGTCAGAGCACCAGAGCACCTGAGGAGGCACAAGAGAGAATGCTGTCTTCTGACATTATAGGAAGAGAAGACAAAGGAAGACATGCAAGGGGACAGTTGTCGGGCTGACATACACCAGCCTAGCCACACTACATGCAGGGTAGCAATATAGTGTGTGCAAACTGCATTATTAAACAAGCTCCCACTCTCATCAGGAGATGTAGACAAGCCTTGGGACAATGTGCCAGTGACGGCACCAGTCATAACCTTCTGCTAAGACTTAAGGTCTTTCCCCACTGACCTCTTTCAGCCTCTTATCCCAAGGGTCTCCATAGTGCCCTCGATAATGCTTCAGTTCTTCTTCATCATCTCTTGTGACTGTGGTCACTGGCACCACTCCAGCCGGGAAGTTCAAGACATTGTATAAATTGGTATAGGAGGTTGCAGCTGGAAAAGATCATACAGAGCAAAACAGCAAAATTTATTGTGCTGGGCCAGTAAAGACTTTTGGATGATAATTTGGGTTGCAGAAATTGTAGACTGGGGTTGCTGGACCTGAAGGGACCATGGAAACATGCTGCTTTCACAGGGACTTTTGATTCAGAGGTTTGAGGGCCACATGACTGCTGATAACAGAGAGACCCATGCCTTCACCCATCAGTCAAATGGAGGTTAGATCTGCTCTGGGAGAGACAGATACGAGTATGTGATCTGATTCAGAGTCTGCATCTATGTCTCTCATACCCCAGGGGAAAATCCCAGATATCTTTTCAAGATAATCCAGATGTCCAGTTCTGTAACACCATCGTAAGGATTTTTGATCTCAAAGGGCCATTGCTAGGGAGATGGAGAAACCTGACTGTTTGCTGGAAGCTATAAAAAAATTGCCTTTTTCTGAAAGTTACAGGCAATAAACCTTTCTGCTATTTGCAAAGTCTTGGGAAATATAAGACAGCCGCATTCAGAAAAGACCGACCTTGTACTAAGGTCTGCTACCCCTCTGAGAAGTCACAGCCACTCTCTGCTGCAAGAGTAGCTCTTGGGCTTTCTACAGGACAGATGACGCAGGGGAAACTCACTTATGAATGACTGGGGCAGATGTGTCACTAATTGCTGCCCCGTAATAATCCAAACATCTGCAGCTCAGATGAGGTGGAGGCATGAGACGACCCACCCAGAGGAGACCTCTCCTTTCCTTTCTTCCCCAGAGGGAAGACCAAGCACCACACATTGTTTGGGGAACGTCCAAGAGACCAAACTATCTTGCTCCAGCTCTGCCCACAGACACCACCATGGATGCATCCAGAGACACCTCAATGCAGATTACCAAATAGCTTCCCAGCGTAGCCATGGTTAAAGGCTGGCCCCAGTGCAGGACAAAGAATCACATCCAGCCTTAGCTTCCTCCATTTAGCAATGAATTCAGTGCAGTAATCCTAGAAAGAGAGACAAAGGAGATGACAATATCTGTTGGACAGCAGTGGCAGATCAATGCCTACAGCATGGGAAAAGGAGGAAAAAATCTTCCTGGATACAATAGAAAAATCAGATAAAATCAGAGCTGTGCTTTGAAAGAGCCAATGGATTTTGTTCTTCTACCCTTGGGTTTCCTGTCAGAATATCATGTGCTGCCCAGACCCAGACATTAAAGTTATGTGAGCATTTCAGAGTTGATTTCTTTGAGTTTTAACCCAATCCTTCCTATGAACAGTTTTGCCTTTGAATTTTATTGAACGGAGATCAACAATAGTTTAAAGAATTATGTCTAGCTGACTAAAAAGTCAAATTTCCTAACAACTTTGTTTATTTTAGTAGAAGAATCTAGAAGACATGGATTCAAAACATTTTCACAAAACCTTTCATTCTGCCTCAAGATACAGGTAAGAAAACGGAGCAGCAAGAGACAGCTAGGCAAGCCCAAGGTCTTCCCGCCACAATGCAGGAGGCACATCTTCCGGCCTGTACTGTAGATTCAAGAGAGATTTAGATTTGTAGTCTGGTTTACCACAGCTTTGCTGAACATCAGGCAATGAATGAATCCATCCTCAAAGAGCCGTTCCACTTTGTCTTAGTAAATAGACATGATGGGCCACAGTATGGCTGCTTCTGCAGCCATCTTCTGGTTATGGGCACACATTTGTCCCATGGTCCAGCCCCTGCTCTGCACAATTCTCTCACTCCAAGTCTTCTGTACAAGGGCCTTCCACATCTCTCATGAAAGCCCAGCCACGAGACTGTTTTTTCAGCCTGACCTCAATTTCCATCTGCAGTCTGAGATCCTTCCTGCTGAAATTTCAACGAATGAGATGGGTTTCCAGGAAATACAGTCAGTGTAGCTAACCTGATTTTTTTTTTTTTTTTTCTCTGAGCAAAAAGCTAGTCGCTAGCCAAAAGTTTTGAATCAGCTCTTGTTTGCAGAAGATGAAAAGAATGTGAATATGGTTTCACTGAAGAAAAACAATTGAAAATATCTCTGATGCCAACAAAACTTTTTAAGAGTTTTCTTTTTGGTTAGGGTTGTGGTATTTTTGTTGCCTTTTTTTGGTTTTCTTTTTTCTTTTTTTTTTTTTTTTTCCAGAAGAATCATTTTCACCTAAAAAACCTCCCAAATCCATTTCCTTCCAAACACTCTCATCAGCCCAGTGACCAGGCAGGTTTGCAGGAGCTTTTCCTCTGCCCTGTCACCTGTCAGACCTGCTGCAAGTGAGGGTGCACGTCCATCGAGTGACCGGCACTGATGGAGGCTGCGTGGTGCAGGCTGGGGGCATGTTTCTTCTCAGGGAGAGTTTGCGAGGGTGTCCCAGGGAACACAGATCCTGCCTTGTGGGAGGACACCAAAACAGCTCTGCTTCTTCAGCCTTGCGAAACACCAGCTGAAAGGGGATACAATTGCTCTCTATAAATAGATCAAGGACGGGGGGAGGCAGTGGAAAATACCAGAGAGGAGGGGCTCAAGGACATGAATAAAAAAAAAGGATAAACTGGAAGTGAATGAACAGCACGGGAAATCTGAAAGTTTCCAACCATCAGAGCAGGGGGGAGAGGAGCTGGCCAATAAAAACATGCGCAAGCATGTGGTGGTGCAACTTCCCCCCTCTCTTGGGCTACTCGGTGCTTAGTCCAATTTTCACCCCCCGGGGCCACATGCCAACCCAAGATCAACTGGGAAAGGCAGTGGACCAGAGAGATTAGGCACCCCCTTAGCTCACCTGGTTTCTGCCCCCCTTCCTTATCAATTAAGAACAATAATAACAATCAATACCTCCTGACAGCCCAGTACACCTGTACTTAGGTTATGGCCCAAAGGGGGTGATAGCACAACTCCAAAATCTAGCAAGTTCTGGGATTTTGAAAATGGTAGAAAGTACCAGAATATTCCATCATCCAAGTTGGGCTGAAATGGAAAACCATCTGACAAAAGTCAGTTATCTCAGCCCCTATAAATAGTGACCCTAAGCGAGACCCTTTGAGCATTCCCAGATCACATTGGGTTGTGACCAGGCATCTCCCCCGAGCTGGGATGCCTCTCAGGCACAGACTCCTTGAGGTTTCAAAGATCATCTGCCCACAAAGGTGATGAAAGGCCAGGGTGAAGTCAGACTTATTCCTGAGACACAATTATCACCCATTAAGAAATACTGATGCATTGTGAATATTTGCTCCAAACTCAAGAGGAGAAAAATTTTAACTATAGGCTAGCCTCTTCCATCCACCTCTTTACCTATCTACGTGCTTAAATACACACATTTTCCTTCAAGAGTGTGGATGTCTGTATATTTTACTGGATATCCAAAAATTTCTGCACTCTGTGTGTGTGTGTGCATGCGTTTTGTGTTTACACATATATATATATATATATACTTTGATTTAAAATACCTTTTAGCAAGTGAGTGTGAATGTTGATCTTGAATCTGTAATTAAGTCACTATTTTAATAATAACATATTCTACCAAATCACCTTGTTAAACTTTAAATTGATCAATCATTAAATGCTGCTAAAATTCAACCTTTTGATCTACCTCACACTATTAATAAACCTTAAATTGATACTAAATCATGACTTTGTCAAATATTTTAATCTGTGACAAACCATAAAACTGAACTGGTTTTAAAGAGGAACCTGATGGGTTTCTGAGCAGCACTGGACTCAGCTGTCTAGGAGAGTGTATGTTGTCCTATGTTCCTGATCCCAAATGAGTTCATACAAAATCTGTCTAAGCCAAAGAGTTCACAACCACAATTTTTGACTCCTAAGGTCTCTGCTTGATAGTTCAAGCATGGTCTTGGCTAGTGACAATAGCACCTAACGTCTGAAATGAAGGATTTGAACCAAGAGACGGAAAGAAGAAAAAAATGAAGCCTCATTTATAGGGGCTGTTGTGCTATTTCTGCTTAGAAAATTCAGGGCAAAGGATAATCTTTCCTCCCCATCCTCTGGTAAGTACAGACCTCCAAATGAACATCTACTGCTTTGAGCTCTTATCATTCCTTGCAAAGCTTGACTTTCAAAGAAAAACCCAGCTGCTTTATTTCCACATGATCCATTTCCAACCCCAAATCCATTGCAGAGCTCAAAGCAATTGCTTAAAAGCTTTAGGGATCTCTCACTATATTTAGTAAGGAGGAAAAAAAAAAAAAAATCACATTACCGCCACTGCTCCATGCTGATCCCAGAGGTTTTTGGCAGACCTGGAAAGGTGGCAGAATTAATCAGCTTTGGGACTGAACTGTGGCAACAGAAAACAATTAACAAAACGCACAGACAGCCCATGGTTGTGCAAGCTGCACGGCCCTTCTGGGAACAAGTTATAGGATCACCCAGCTGATTCCACTGGGTTCACATGTGCTTTCAGGTACACCAAAAGAGCTTACATTAAAAGCAAGCCACCATGTCTAGGTGCTCTGACATCTAGACAAAGATCATGGCAGTCTTCTAAATTCACTTGCTCCCAGTTTGGCATGTCTCTGTCTCTCTTGGAGGGGCAGGTGCTTCACACCACACTGCACCCGCATGCGGAGACCTCTGCATTAACTCGGCACATGATGCTCTGGGTACCAGAATCCACCTGATGGGGAAATTAGCCTGTATCTCTCTGTGCTGATCTCCATGGAGACATCCTAGCCCTGCCATGACAAGGATACTTGAGCTCTTAAAATAATCTCTGGCTGCACAGCCTTGGATAACACTGTGTTAAGTCCAAGTGGTGCTGAGGATGCACATTTTTATCTGGCTCAGCTTGTGCTGCACAGCTCCGTGACAGAGCTTTGCACAGTGAGCTGGCATCTGCCTGTGTGAACCGGTGGACACATCCATGTGCATCCCCTTTCTCCATATCTACTTCAGTGCGACTTACCCCACTCCACAGAGAGCGCTGAGATCCCGAGCAATTCGTGGGTACTTTCAGAGGGAAGAGAAAAACTTGGGATTAGTCAACAACAAAGCAGCTGCAATAGCTGGTTACCATGCAATTGCATTTTGGGCACACTTCTTGTCCTAGTAGAAGTGGCTCTGAAGTACAGGTATGGTTTCCAGTGAAGTAGTTACACTCCCACATTAATTTATACATTTAATCACAACAATCCATGCCAATAAGGCTCTAGACCACAGTGCTAGCCCAGGAGAGCATCTTCTGGATGTGGGGATGCTGCTTAGGTCCTTGTTAGTAATATCCATTCTCTTGTAGCCCATTGCTTTATGAGCTGTATGGCTCATGGGTTCCTGGGAACAGATCATATTTCAACCTCCCATGCAAAACTCCCAGAAAAGGCTGTCAGACCCACTTGATAAGTTCACCCTGGGTTTAGGGACTAAGCGTTTATAAGTGTTTTTCACTAGGAAGCCCATCAGGGTTAACACAAAGCAGCAAAGCAGTCCCAGAGGGGAGCAGCCTATCTCCCTGCACGCAGAAACTTCCCCATCTTCCAGATTTCCTGTAACACAGATGAGAGACATCCACACACTTACTATGGGTTTCAAAAGAATAGCCAAGATCCTTTTCACCAGAGCAGGAAGCCTGTACGTATTGTACTGGGATTTCAGGTTGGGATCCACGATGTCTCCTTTGCTGGAAGGGCAGAGAATGAATGAGAAGTCAGGATGAGCCACCTGTGCCAGAGCTACAGCAACAGCAGTGCTGTTTCCAAAGCAGGGTTTGTCTTAGAGGGGAGTTGCTGGAAGACATAATCTCCCTGTTTCAATCTGAAACACTGAACAAGGGGTGTTCATGTGGGGTTTAGATGCTTATGTGTAAATGCTGACTGCAAAAGTTATAGAGAAATAAGTACTTTACTGCCTATGTTGTCAGTGCCATAAAGGCTCTGGAGTGCTTTGCAGCGGTGGGGCCATGTACAACCCTGGGCATGTTTCACCTTGAAGTGAGCGAGCGGTTGTGTGGGTGTTTGGCCACTAGCCAGGGATAAACCACTGCACCTCTGTAGGAAGTTCTAATACGTGTGATGTTTCCCATGTGTCATGGACTACTTACACACATAAAACCAGCTGCCACAGCTCTGCTGACACATGGCATCTTGTCGTCCTACTGCGTTTTCCATATGTGTGAACTAGCTGCTGCTCACGCTAAATTAACCCTTTCAGAAATTGTTCCTCTGCTGCTCATTTTTCAGTTTGCACCCACAAGAATATAAACACTCTAGATGCAACCACTGGCTATACAGTGCCAAGTTTCATGGCCCACACTCAAATGGAGGTTCTACTCACAAGCAGTCCACCAGCTGACCAGCACCATCCGAGAAAATCCCTCTGGTGAACAGCTCGTCTACCACATAGTCAATCTTGGGTGGCGCAAAAGGAACAAGCTGCAAGAAAACCATCCCTGCTCAAGAGGCAACAAAGATGAATGATTCGTAGACGCTTCTGTGAACCTCCGTGACTCACTAGTGAGGTGAGTGAGAAGTGGTGGGAAGCTTAGGCCCTCCTTGCTGCTGTAGGACAGCAAGACCCCATTTTCAGAGGGACCTGGGTCAGCAGCATCTGCTCACTGTTCTTCCCATCTCCAAGGCACTGACATATATTGTGACCTGACACAGGCTCCACTCTTTCACATGTTAGAGAAGAATATTTAGAGACTTCAAAACACCAAGTATTTTTAATTAATTTGCATCATTGGAACAGCTTCCATATAGAAATCCCAATTAGTGGAAGCATAGAATAATTTAGGCTAGAAAAGGTCCCTGGGGCGTCAACTGCTCCAACCCTCTTTCCACTTACCCACCAAGAAATCTGTAAACTGTGTTTAATGGCTGAGGGATCACGGAAACTGTTGTGAGTTTGATATTTATGGGAACACCAAACATGATGGAAAAAGAGTGCTTTAGAAAAAGGATGACTTGGAGATATCTGAAGGTGATTCTCCTGTCTGCTAGGCCAGGAATATAAGCAAGATCACTTCAGTTTGGGAAACAAACTGTTGCATTTGCCTTCCTCTTCATGATCCTTGCAGCAGGGAGAGATGGTCTCTGTTTTATGTGTAGCAAAAGTGGAGATGGGAAGTGATTTGTACAAACTCTGTAAGGAGCAGGATAACAGCTCCAGGCAATCACAGGCTTGAAAACTCACTGTATGCCCTGCATCCTGGAGGAGCTTTCTTGTCTGCTGGATGGCTCGTTTCATGCTGGGTGAGGGCTGGAAGTACCCATCTCCTTCATAATACCCAATCCGAAGTGGCTTTGAATTGGTGTAAACCTGTGAGAAAAGGAGCCATCACTTGTACACATGTGACGTACAAGATTGGACCATTCTCAGGGCTCAGGGAGACAGCAACTGAGGTCTCCTGGGTTGGAGGAATGATGGGAGAAAGAGGGCTGGTGGGAAGCAGTGTTGTCCAGAATATAGGTCCGCAGCAGTGGTCCTTGGTATGGTCTTTCTGACACCTCCTCCTGCCATGTGAGCATGTCCCAACTTTGGGACAGCAGGTGTGACAGCACCTGTACAGGCCATTTGCCTGGGATGCCTGGCTACGGACAGAGGTCAGGGGGCTGTTCCTCTAGGCTGAGCCACTGGTCTGTACCGTCTGGGTGTCAGGGACAACTGAAAGATCCTCAGGCCTGAGCCAGAAAGGCAAGATCAGATGGTAGAAGCAGAGAGCTAATTGCAAAGGGCAATAATTTTCTAGGTCACTGACTGTTAAAACAGGCTCTCTAAAGGTGAGAGGGGTGAATTCTTCTGTAGAAATCAGCACCATTAAGGATTGGGCCAGGATGGAGCCAACAAGCTTGTTTTGGACATTGATGGGGAGGGAAGCCAAGGGTGGGGCTGCCAACCCTACTGTGTGGCTGCTTCTTGTGGTTGCTCATGATGGAAGCCCTCTCTTCAGAAGGACGCTTGCTCCCCTGGGTCCTTCACTATCTTGAGACATGAAACCAGAGAGGAAACTCCCAAGATCACACTTGCTAGGCAAATGGACTGTCTCTGAGCCTTACCTCCTCATCAAAAGGGAGGGGGGGCACAGTGGGGTCCAGCCGGAACATCTCTTCACAGAGCAGTGCCTTCATGCAGAGGGCCAGGCTGTCCACATCTCTCGCCATCGGCCCCAGCATCCCCGTCACTGCAAGCACAAACGTCCTATTCACTGCAGGCAGATGGGCTGGTGCTATCTCAGAGTTACTAGTTGGTGCCCAGCATGGAAGGGTTTCAGTCCGGCCAGGGAAGAGAAATGGGGAATTAATGTATTGGGCAAGGAGTGGGAAAGGAAGTCCAGCAGGGACAATCTGTAAGTCTCAGAACAGAGGCAACCTACTGAGGCTGGCCTTCTGGGCCAGGCTGCTGCAGTCTCAGGGCCTGCTCAAAAGGAACGAGGACTGCAGCCCTCCTGCCAACAGCAGTACTGCCTGGCAGCAGCTGAAGCCAGCGCAGTCTCCTGGAAGCATCTCCAGTGGAATATCCCACATATCTCACATTTTTCACTCCTACACATTGCACTGCCTGAACTGCTGGTGCTTCAATTCTGCTCAGTTTCAGCTAACACCTACCACCATCCAAAACCAGAATAAATGGTGCAAAAAGGAAATAGCACAAGGCAGGCCCTGGTCTAATAGATCAATGGTTTTGACTGGCCATGAGACACATAATTGAGCAAGCACGTTTTCTGGCATTTCAGCAGTAGGAGGAGATGTAAGAAGCAAAGGTTTGACAGTAGTAACATGTCATCTGGATGGACTTACCTGATTTCATTCCTGTGATAGGAGAAACCACACCCAGTTTGCTAGGAACATAACGGGAGAAGCAAATTAGCAGCAGCTCTCGCTGTAAGGCAGGTCACCATGCAGAGCTGCAGACTTCCCATTTAGGAGGGTGAAACATCCTGCAAATCTTCACACTTTCTAGGCTAGTAAGACTGCTATGGGCTGTAAGCTGATAGGGGCTAGAGATAGTTTATACAATCTATTTTCCTGGTGCATCTGATTCCTCATCTGTGAACAAACCACCTCTGATAAACAGAATATTCTTACAGGCAAAGCAAGGGCTGGAAAACATCTGGAAAGGAGACAACTCTGTTTTCAGCATCCTGGCCAGGTCTATTAAATGTTTAATAAGTCTTTGCTGTATTAACAGATGGAGATCACCATGTGTCACTAATAGAGCCCTTAGCCCCAGCTGACACAAGGAAACAAGCAGGTTAGGGTGCTAACTTAAACCCGGAGGAAACCATGGACACTACTGCTAAGTTTGATGCACTGTGGGGGACACTTTGCAGTCTCTGCAGCGGGTGGAAGAAGAGGACAGATGTTGGGATGTACCTGATCCTGTTGCCTGTGGGTTTGAGCCCGCACAGCCCGCAGAAGCTGGATGGCAGGCGGATGCTGCCAGCTACATCTGACCCGATGCCCAGGATGGAGCCTCCTCCTGCAATCAGAGCTCCCTCCCCTCCTGAAGAGCCCCCGGGACTCTTCTGGTGGTTGAGAGGGTTCAGCGTCTGGCCGAAGATGGGATTGCTGCAGTCATAGCTGGAGAGAAGATCAGCAGGTGAATGAGGTACTTCTGTCTCTGCAAACCATAAATACAGGGCACAGAGCAGCTGTGCTGGGTTGAGCGTGGAATTAATCCCAGCAGGTAGAATCACAATGAAGTAAATTTATTGGGACAGCTGAATTTAAGAAGAGGCATCAAATATATGGGAAATAATTTCAGATTGAAATGAGGAGGCAATTAACTCAATATGCATGATTAGCTTGGACAAGGGTAGAAGCTTGTGCATGCCAGCCCACCCCCTCTCAGATAGCAAGTCACATGTCATAGTGTTTTCATGAAGGCAAACGTGCAATTACTTTATCATCGTCTGTGGGATGTTGGTTTTCACGAAGGGGATTGCCCCTTGGCTCTTTAGAACCTGGACAATAACGCTGTCCTCTTCCTTCACTTGTCCCAGGAACTTCACCATCCCTCCAGAAGAGATGTGGCCCTTGGGGATGGGAAGCAAAGCTCTTTAGGTACCAGAAAAGATGCTGTTTGGAGCTGTGACAATAACAGACTTAGGTTCTGATGCCTCCTGTGACAAAATTCCCACCTAACTTTTCTCACAGGCAGAACAGGATCTGACTACACCAGGGAAAACCAGATCAGAGCAGGCCAGAAATTTCTATAGAAAACAAAATTTTCATCAGAAGAAAGGCAACTTTGCTGGTCCCACAATATTTGGTGGAGAACATCTTTGTCTGAGGGAACTCTTAGCCAGTCCTGATGAAGATGGGACATCCCGGCCTGTTCCCAGCCCCAGACCAAGAGGCAGGGGAATTAGGGATGTACCTTGCAGTTAATGTGGTCTTTGATGCTGATGGGAATGCCATAGAGCAGCCCCTTCTCCTTCTGCTTCTTCAGTTTCTGGAGCTGATCCTCACAGCCATGAATGAAGTCTATCACACAGTTCACCTCCCGAGTCACCTCCAAAGCCTCTCCAGAACAGAGAAGAGCAGCAAGACAAATGAATGGACAGAAGGAAGAAAACAGTATTTAAATTGAGGTTTTAAGCTGAAAATTCAATCTTCTCCAACCTCCAGCATTCATTATTCAGACCTTACCTATAAACTTTAGATGTTTCTTGTTGGGATAATTTTCTGCCCTGGGTCTCCGTCCTACTTATTTGCGCATAAGCCACCCTTCAGACATCACAGTATTGGCAAACTGTAATCCCTAGCATTGCCAGTTCTCTCAGCAAATGAGCTGTTTTTTAATTTGAAAGCCCCCAATGCAGAAGAGTGCTGCAGCATCTCTCTGATGCTGGCAATATCACTCACTTTGCCCATGTAGGAGTAGAGGACACTTTCTGGGGACAAGGTCCCCTCCTTCAGCTTCTCCACCAGCTCCACCATTGTCAGCGAGAGGACATGTGTAGTCTGGGTGCCTGGGTTCTGCAAAAGGTTGGAAATTGGGTGCAGAGGGAAGAAGACGACGGAAAAGGTTGATGTTGAGGTTGTAAATACCCAATTCTAACATTTGCCCAGCAATAACCTTGAGTAGAGAATTTTAGGAGACATTCCCTGTAGACTTCCCACATAGCACTGTGTGTGCTGGAATGGGGAATTTGCTGAGTCTTAGTTCATAAAAACAGAACCAAAACAGGCAGAAAACTGCTTCTTAACTGGGGAGTTGCATGAATCTGTAAGAGAGGTTGGATCTGTCTCTGTTTACTTTCCTACAGGCCTTTACCCCCTTGTAACTCATAGACAATGTGTTAAATAGCAATTCAACCAGCTAAAGTTTTACAAAATTTGTCATTAACATGGGAAAAAAGTCTATGGGTTGTTTCAACCCCTACGGGTTTAAGACAAATCCCAAATTCAAGGATCTGACCTCTTAAAATCCACATGCTTCTTTACCTGGGCATGGTCAGGAGGAAATGGCTTTTGGTCATCGATGTGCAGATATTGGAGGGATGTGAAGCCCCCTCCCCGTACTTTGAGGATGATGGGGCAGACAGGTTCCTATGGAGGGGTGGAGGTAAGGAGGATGGGAGAGGAAAGGCTTGGCGGTAGGGACAGATGAGGAGAAAAGGGCATAGGTAGGTCTAGGGTGGTGATGTGATTCAGAGGGTTCTGAACTCTGATCCATCTTTCATCCTCAGAATTTTCTCAACAGGTCTGTATTAGGAAACACTTCCTTTATGCTGTCTTTACAGTAGGCTTTTTGTGACAATGGAGGGTGGTGACACTCAAAAAAATTGGTGATGATCCAAAACACTCACATGCCCTAACCACCACTCCAAAAGGGATTGATCATCACTCCCCCATTTCTTTGGTTACCCAAAATACAATCCCTTTCTCCCACACACACTTTCCCCCAAATTACCTCTTGCTTAAACCTGTGAGCTGCCTTCTCCATTCGCTCCAGGGCCAGATCCCGTGTTCTCCTTGCTTCCTCCATCTTTTGCTGGATCTGCCTGCGTCCCAGCCATTTCAGTAGCACAACGGCTGCAGCTGAACTGCAGACCAGAGCTGAGAGGGTGCAAGGATCTCCCCACAAAGGATCTAGGACCTGCCACAGTCGCTCTTGGGTCATGATTTCTCTCCTAGTCCTTCCTGGTCTGGTCCAGCTAGGGACACCTGGGTCTCCCACCTTCTCCTAAGGAAGGCTGATGAATTCAGACTATGTGATTGCCTGATGTGCAAGATCAACTCTGAAGCAGAGTTGCATTAACAAAGTCCAGGAATGGACTTTTTAGACCATGGACTTTGAAAGGGTCTGCCTGTTGGAGAGTAACTGTGGGTTGGGCTGCAAAGCAGTGTGCTCAACTCGCACTGGGTTTGGGGGGAGGGGGGTGTCCCCCAAGGCTTCGTCTCCCCAGGCCCCTGGCTGCTGCTGTACGTACAGGGGACAGAACTGATTAACAAAGCTGAATGTCTGCAAAATCCAGGTCTGGGCTATCCCCACTATGCCCATATCTAATAATTAATTAGCACTTAAGCCCATTAACTAGAGGTGCTCAGCCCTCACCTCTGTCCCTCAGGCAGCAGCATGTGTGGCCCTTTGAGCCTGGGACAAGAGAGCTCTGCTTGTCCTGGGGAACCTGGTGCAGGGGCTGAAATTGCACCCCCTGGAGTAGGGAGCTCAGGAGAACCAAGAGTATGAAGGTGCAAGCACACAGTGACTCTGGAAAGGCAATGTGGAAGGAGCTATCTGAAGATGCCTTCAAATAGTATGACTACTCTGCATCATTTTCAAGCCAAGCCTCTTTGAAAAGCATTTTGGCAATCCAGATCAGGGGGGTGAACACTTTTGGGAAATCCAAACTTACAAAGAGGCTGCACCCAGGGTAATTATTGCTCTCTGGTGGAGATGTGTTGTTTGGGGGCCGAAAGCCAATGATGGTGCCATTATCATGTTATGTTACCTTGTCCGTTACAGAAACGTCCAGTGGGATTATTCCTGTGGCAGCAGGGAGAGAGCTTGGGGAAGAAGCAAGACCTCATAACGAAACTGGCTGCTGACTCAAAAGGCGAGGAGGATCCTCCCTGTTCGGCCAGGATGGAGAGCAACAAGAGCCAAACAACCCAACGTGGACATCGCCAAACTCTCCCTACTGACTGTGGGGATGTGGTCTTCATTGCCCCATCCCAGCCTTAAGCTTCAGTGTTGCCATTCACACCGACCTCCTTCTGTCCAGGCTGGGCTGGGAGCAGCCTGCAGCTGGCCATTTTTGGCAACCTCAAGTCCCCAAAGCCACACAGCAGCTTTGGCCCTGCCTGGTGCGCTGTCCCGTGGCAGTGGAAACAGCTTGCTGCATGTCTTCACTCAGGGCTTCCAGTGAGGAGTGTTTAATGGTTCAGGTCCACTGGTATCCAAATCATTTGGACTCCTGCACCCTGCCCATCTCCATGCCAGGGAGAGAGCAATTAAACTAACAGAGCGATGCAGTGCTTGGCTCTGCAGGAGCATGGGCGCAGGCGGCATTGCCTCTCCTGAGACAAGCTCCTCCAGGCTTGAATTTTAAAATGAAAACAGATAAACCCCATCCAGCATTATCTGTGTGGGCAGGGAGCACCTGCAACTGGTGAAAAACCCCACACACGCTCTTCTGGGGCTTGGCTTTACATAGCATTCAGTCCTGGGATGCCTGGAGCTCCCTCTCTCCTTCTTTCAAAGCCTGCTGATAAAGAGTCAGGGTCCTGGGAGCTGCTTCTCCTAGATAAAACCTCTCTGCCCAGCCCTTGAAAAGACCCAATGCTTTTTGCATGACTCTGGTTTAAACAATACTTTAAAAAAAAACAAACATAAATCCTGACAGAGCTTTGTTACAAATGGCTTGTGACATTTCTGCATTGGGAAAATGCTTTTGCATTGTGCTATCCTTTTCCGGGGCATGCTTGGAAACCTGCTGGGAGCAGCAGGTGCCACCAATCCCGGTGTCAGCAGCTGGAAAATCTCACTGGAAAACCTGGCATGTCCCCCTCCACCGAACGGGAGGAGAGGGTGTACAGGGCAGGCTGTCCAGCTGGCTGTCCGACCCCAGCACGCTGCTTTATACATGCAATACCATGAGCTGAAGCGCCTCATACCTCTGCTCTGGGGAAAGCAGGACTAGGTGCCTGAAGCAGATGGGAGTTCATCATCCCTCAGTTTTCCCTCCACAGCGTGCAGGGTGCCAGCAGCCCTGCGCTGTGGGAAGTGGGCCAGTTCCTTCCCTGCTTGCCAGAGCCTGCAGGCAGGCTCAGCTTTGACCTCAGATTGCTGGTCTGCAGCAGGGAAAACACTGGATTTCGTCCTCAGGGAGCTGAGATTGGAGGGGAAAATCCCTTTTCCTACAGCACTCCATGTAGCAGTCTGAATGTCTTGGACAAAACCAGTCCCCATGCTTCAGTTCCCCCATTTGTAAGAGAATGATCACGTTCTTGCACTTTCCTGGGGGGTGTTGAGTGTTATTAAAATCCACCCCAACCCCCCCCACCCCCCCAAACACAGACCTGAAATAGCAGACTTCTGATAACAAAAAATACTGTATTAGGACAATGATTGGAAGTGCTCCACCACTGCAGAGCTTGCCTCGCTTTCCCCTCGCACCCCAAAGCCAGCAGCCAGCCCAGCCAGCCCCGTATCCTCACAGAGGGGAACACGAGTCCTGTGGGCGAGTCAGACCAAAGGACGACCTGTGCTGATGTTAGTTGGCATCCTGATCCGGGCGAGCGTGTGGGACTCAGACAAGCCTGTTTTTCTTCAAGATGAGGGTCTCCACCTCCTTCATGAACCGGAGGCACATCTCCTCCTGCCACGGCAAGGCCACGCACTGCACAGCCACGGGCAGCCCCACGCTGCCATGGAAAGCCTGTGGCACAAACAGAGGTGGAAAAGGCAGGGGGATGTCCAAGGGAAGAGACTGGGATGCTCGTGGCCCTGGGGAACCTGGCGCCACTCACCTTTGCCAAGGTCCGGTCCAACCAGTCCCGAAAGTACCCCTGGTAGCCCTTCAGCTCCTCCTCGTCCTCGTCTGTCACCATCGTGACGGGGACCACGCCGGCGGGGAAGTCCAAGGCGTTGTAGAGGATGGTGTAGCTGACTGCCACTGGGGGAGAGGAGGAGCTCGCAGCGCCAGCCCACCGCAGGGAAAGCCTTCGCCCCCCTCTGCGTAGGCGAGCTTCCAGCTCATTGGGCATTTGCCACGGGATCTCAAGGGCTGCAGGATGGACACCTGCCCCTTGGCTCCCACATGGATGGGGAGGGGGTTGTCCTTGGTGTACCCCACGGGCTGGGGCTGAGGCTGCCCCAAGAACTGAGTTCTCCCCGGCACCGGCCAGTGCCTTGGGGATGTCAGGGGAAGAGGAGAAGGAACGCTTCTCATTGATACTGGTGAGCTGCTGCAGGGGCATGCTGGAGGCAAAGGTCCCCCATCAGCAGTCCTACCTGAGACCTTCCCAGGGTAGCCGATGCCGAGTGCCGGGCCCAGCATGGGACAAAGCATGACATCCAGATTCAGCTTTTTCCACTGGGCGGTGAACTGGTGGCAATATTCCTGAGGAGGAAACGTACTGGTGGTCAGTGGGGTGGATGTACTGTCCCATGGCTGCTGGCTGAGGCTCTCCATGGGTGTCCAGCTGGGCTCTCAGCCCTTCTCCAGGAGCAGCCATCAGGCTACGTGAGTCCCGATCTTGCTGAAATGCAGCAACCCTTTGCTGCTTGGCCAACAGCCCCACCAGTGTACAAAGCACCCTCCCCACTGCTAAACTGGAGGTGGGGAAAGATTGGGTGCAGGGGCACATGGCAACCTGGGACATGGGCAAGGGTCCGGAAGAAACTAGAACGAAAATAAAGGCAAGTCTGCTGCAGCTGATGTCCTACATTTTCAAGTGTAGCAGTAAAGAATTCAGGTCTGATTCAGGATCACGAATGTGTCTATGTGTTGTCCTAATCTTTAAATGTGCTAAGAACTTGCACATTCAAGTGAGATCTGTTGAGGAGTAACTTATGTTCCTACCTCACATCACCATGGATTTGATCATCTCCTAAACCTGGTGTGTACTGAATCTGCTTCTTCTCAAAGAGAAATAAAGCAAAAACTATCTAACCCCCAATTGCAATGCTTTACCTCAATTTCATGATGAAGACTCCAGACTTCATCCACCGTGCTGAAAAAGAAAACAAAACCAATGAAAGGCATCAAGAGGTGCTGCAAAGAACAGCTTTAGGGGCAGGGAAGGGCATCAAAAAGCAGATGGGCACAAGCTAGCTCTGCTCCTGGATTTGCAGCCAAGGGAAGAGAGGACTTGGGCAAAGTCCTGGCTTTGCTTTGAAGGGCTGGGGGTCTTATTTCTACTTCTGCCCATGATGGAAGGCTGAAGACTAAAGGCAGATTTGGTGCAGTGCTGCTTTGGCCTGAGAAGTGTCCAGCCCTGTTATTGCCACTAATGCTGAGGAGGTGGAAGCCCAGGAACATCATATCTCTCTGTGTGAGGTGGACTGATCCTTTGATGTGGGGACAGATGTACTGCCTTGTAGACAGAGCACAAAATACACCTTCTGCTATGGGATTTGAGTCCTTTTTCACCATTAACTGCCCAACACTGACATCGCAGCAAGAGCAAGCCTCCTTCCCTGTGCATTTACCTTCCTTCTGTCTTACAGGGTCCCTGCTTCATGGCATGACAGATACATTAACTGGTGCTGAAGCCAACTCTGTATTTTGTTCCCACAAGCTTCACCGAGTTCTTAAGCAAGAGGCCGTGAGCCCTCACCCTCATTCCCTCAGTACTAGAACAGTTTGCCAAACCTTGCAGGATTATAGTGTTGACATAAACTGCTCTCAGTTTGCTCCCACCCTTCTGTCTTTTGACTTGTATTTTTCCAGGTGCATGCAGTTGGAGCAGTATCCCTAACGTAGCAAACACTGCTGCTCCCCAAAAGAGAAACCCAAATCTTTGCACATTTGCTCAGGCTTAGTTACTCACTTTGCTCTCATACTTCTTATGATACCTGACAATCGAGGGACCTGAGAAGGAAAAAGTGAAAAAAAAAAAAAAAGAAAATAATTTACATTAATCCGAGCCCTGTCCTCTGAGACAGCTCCATCACAAATACAAGCTGTTGACTCAGTGCTCAGGCAGGACTTGTGGATCTTCCCCAAAGTGGTGAGAGAAGGAACAGAAATAGCAACAACACTCAATTTCAGAGATATGTCTAAGCACAGCCAGGAAGCAATGCCCAGAGACTTCCCTAGGATAAAGCCTTACTGCAATGGGAGACAAGTTATTCACCACCTATTGCTTAACTCCATCTACGCTAGAAAGAAATGGACCTTACGAAGGGTTTGGCAATCCAGGAGAGCACAGTTTTTAGCCAGTTTGGTGACTTCGCCAACCAGTATAACAGCCCCATGCTGCCTTTCTCCAGCTCCCCTTCGCTGAAAGAGAAAAGGGTGTTTAGCTGAGCACTGTTAGGAAATAATCACAGTAGATAAACTTTCATAAGGCCAACCCCTCTGCACAGCACATCTAAGTGACAGAGAGGTTTTCTCCATTCCTCTGGGCTCCTCTGATTCTCACAGTATTTATAAGATACCAGCACTCAGTTTCCTTCCATCTGTCAAGGCTGGTAGCAATCCAACGAGACCCAAGGTTCAGCTCAATCGCTTGGTGGCAAGCTCCCCAGTAAATCCCAGTGCATATCAGCCACTATCTACATCCAGTAGATCTGCTACCTGTATCCAGATGCTAGCCAGACCCTAGGGAGGATTTTCATAGAAAGGCACTGATCACACCAAACTGTTCCTGGCTATACTTACAATTTCTTGACATAGGAGGCACCCCCATCTGCAAACACTCCCCTGATGCAGAAGTTAAAGATCACATAGTCCACATTCATGAGTTCAAAGGGCACCAGCTGGAAGGATAACGGAGGGAGAGTCAGTGGCACAAGCACAAGCAAGCTGTGGGAAAAGTCACTGAGGGTTCGCAGTGGGCCAAGCTGGGCTCAGGATTTTCTGACAAGCCCTCAGGAAATCCTCCAGCATCTGAGGCCACCAGGTCTTCCTCATCCCACCCTTCCTTGAAAGCACCATTTTCCCTTTGAGTAACAACTGATGAGTCAAAAGACACAGGATGGGCTTGTCCCCCTGATGTCTAAGCAGCCCTAAGTCACAAAGGTCCCTCATAAACTGGCAGTGGGTAACAGAGAGCCTGAGTCTGTGCTCCCCACTTCATTCCTGATCCTTGTGTGAGGGTAAGGGGGGCCACGCAGCCATGACCATGCCTCACACACAGGAGAGGACTTGCTGAAATGGCATAGTGGAGGAAGAAGGCAATCCCTGCTCAGCACTCCATAAACCTGAGACCCTAGAAATGGGTCTGGGTCAATATTGGACTGCTTGGCTATAAAAGAACTGCCATCTGCAACTGCTCTTTTATTTTCCCCTTAGGTCCTTGTTTCCAGGTACAAAACCAGGAGGTGGTATCTACATGCAGTAGATCTGTGGAACTGCTTGCTAAAGGATATGATGCAGAAGAGAACAGACTAAACAAGTACTTGGACAACAGTTCGTCACAGTCACTGAACAGACTTGGTCCATCAGGCTCAGGAAACACTCTGAGCTGATGGTAATCATACACCACCGGGACTGTAAGCTCCCTGTAGACACTGCGTTGGGACCTGGTTTGTACAGCACCTAGCACAATGTGGATCTCAGCCAGGGTGTGAGTAAACGCACCCACACTGCACACAGGTCATACAGCAGTGTGTCTACTCCCCAGCACGTGTTACGGATCAGGGTGGCCTCCCTTTTGTGTTCACCAGCACCTAAAGAGCACTGAGACTCTGCTGAGAAGAGAAACCAAGTTGCAATATAAAGAATTTCTGTTTTCCAGAATCAGATATCTACTTTCATCAAGGCTGTGAGAAGCTGAGTGGATTCCAGGCCCCCTTTCCTTGCCAAATTTGCTTGATGTTCACCCATGGGTCCCAAAGACATGGTAAGAAGGAAGAATAGATGCAGCATGACTTCATGCAACATCTTACCGTGTGACCAGCATCCTCCAGCAGCTGCTTCGTCTCCCGAACAGCGCGTCTCATGGCAGGGCTTGGCATGGTGAAGAAATCGGTTTCATAATAGCCTATGCGGAGGGGCTGAGTGCTGGAATACACCTGCAGAGCAAGGGAGAGCGCCAGCTGGAAGGATGTCAGCGGTGTCAGGAGCCAAGAGTACACCCACACCCTAGGGAGAATCTGGAGAGCAGCACTTCTCTCGCCCACGTGCCCACCCATGGATCCCGGAGGACTCCACTGGTGTTTTCAGCCTGAGCAATGGCAGCTGTTCTCAAAGACCTTGGCCCACTCTGAGGTCCTTTACCTCTTCATTGAAGGGAAGGGGGGGCACCGTGCTGTCCAGGCTGAACATGTCCTCACACAGGAGCGCCCGCATGCACAGCGCCAGGCTCTCCACATCTTTTGCCATTGGCCCCACTGCTGCGACCACTGGAAGAAACCAAAAGAGAGCATTTGTGGCTAGGGGTCTTTCAAGGGCAAAAGCATGACCTCTTGGCATCATGTTGACTTAGTCTAGTGTTGGCAACAGTTCCTCCTTGAGAACTGGGCCGGGGATGCCTACAGGTGTTCTCCCACCAGCAGGCCCATTATTATGGACCCAGAGCTGTTATCCATCAATATGTGCTATGATGCCTTCATTTACAAAATTAAACAAAAAGTTTTGTCAGTCACGACACAACGACAACATAAGGCACCCACTTTGATTGCTAATCCCACTTCCCATGAAGGAGCGGCAGACAACACAGCAACCTGAGGGTTACAGGGTGTGTTGAGGTTTATGTGTTACACAAACCCTTCCTCTTGGCTCATGCACAGTCCAGTTTCTCAGAAATCATGGTATGGGGGTGGCTCTCTGAAATCACAGTCCCTGAAAGGGAACCTGCTTCTCTCTCTGAATGTGTTGGAGAAGGTCCCCCATAACCAGCTGAGGGTCCTCACCCCTGCCCTGCCGCCCTCCCTGGTGGACAACCATCAATTCCTACCTGCCTTCTGCCCAAGGACACCAGAGATTATTCCTTTTTTACTGCAAAGAAAAGAGACACACAAAATACAGCAGCTGAGTAGTTTCCATTGACGGGAAAGGCGTTAAGCAGTAGCAAGTGGTAATGAAGACACTGACCTCCCTTTGCAGATTCAGAGGTTAGCAGAAGGAAGGGCCAAGGTGAAGCCCAAGAGAGACCCAACATAGGCCAGAACGATTTATGCCCTGTCAGCCAGGGTCAACCACCCCCTTAGCATGCAGATGGAGAGGTTTCCCCATCTCTGTTCCGGGGGAACCAGTGCTTCCCTCCATACAGGCCTCAGAACATGTCTGGGAAGGAGGGAGAAATGAGCCCTTCCCAGTTCCTCCCGAGTTTCCCCTTACCCACAGAGTAGGAGCATCCCAGCACAGTGGTTAGGAGGGTAGTCAGTGGGTCTCACCCAGAGATATCCTTGCATTACTCACAGTACCTGAGTCTGTTCCCGGTGGGTTTGAGAGCACAGATCCCACAGAAGGCAGCAGGGAATCGCAGGCTCCCTCCTACATCCGTCCCAAAGCCCAAGATGGACCCACCTCCTCCTACAAGTGCTCCTTCTCCACCAGAGGAGCCTCCAGGGCTTCTGGTGTAGAGCAGAGGGTTGAATGTCTGACCAAAGATTAAGTTCTTGCAGTCATAGCTAAAGAGAGAGAGGGATTGAAAATGGGAGGAATGTAGGTATCTGCTGACACAGACCCCAGTCACTACAAAAAGACCTTCAGAAGGTAATTAGGTAATTCACTAGCTGTTACACTGACATCACTTAATCCGAGGGAGCCTCCCAAAGCTCCCATGAAGACCACCAGCCTTTTCACTGCGGTCTCAGGACTTAGGATTCAATGCCAGCTAATTTCAATGTTGTCAAGCCTTTCCCACACTGACCCTCTGGCAGCACAAATACATCAAGCCTCCTGGAAAGCCTCCTTGTTCAGGTGGTCCCCAAGTGCCACAGGACATCCAGAGCAGCCCACACGGACCATGTCCATACCCCCCCACCCTGAGGGGGGCATTGCTGAGCCCCGGTTTGGGAATAGGCCAAATAGCAACTGCAGCAATATTAGAACATGGGACTCCCCCAGGAGCTGGCGCAAAATCTGATAATGCCTGGGGCAACCTCTTTGCGTGGCTTTTTTTAAATGTGGTCAGTCACTGCCGTGTCACCTTAAAGAAGGCATTTCATACAGATTGGGCAATAGTCATCCACGGAGGAGCTTTGCCAGAGTTCACCTGACAGGACACAGGGACACTGGCAGGGTGGCTGTCTGGCAGAGCACACCTGACCTCATCCTATATCCATGATGTCAAGAGTGATCTTGCCAGATACAGCAGGAGATTTTGGCACAGGATAATTTAAGGTTGTTAGCTTAACTAGCTAACTAGCTTCCCCTTCCATGAATATGTGTTTGCACTGTATAGTTAACAGGACCATTTCTGAGGGGTTAATTAAAAAAAAAAAAAAAATAGTGATTTAAAACACCCAGCAGAGGAAAGAACGTCAGCGATTTCTCTCCTCTTCTTCTCCTATTTTGCTTCTTTATTTCATTTGGAACTAGAGTTAATTTTAATCCTTATTGTAAATATGTTTACTTTTTAAAGTAAAAAAGACACGTAAGGATGGGGGCCAGGTGTTGTTATGGAGAAAGAAGTGGGAAATGAGAATTAGACTTGATTAGAAAACCTCACTTGAGATGAGAGAGGGAGGACTGTCACCATGTCAAGGGAATGGAGTGCCCCCTTACCTGATGAGGGACTGGGGAACGTTGGTTTTGACAAATGGAATTGCCCCCTGTCTCCTGAGCACCTGCACCACCACGCTGTCCTCTGCTGCAGGTTTATTGAAGTTTTTTACAAATCCTAACGTCGAATCATGACCCTGGGAACACAGGACAATGAGGTTTCCAAATGGCGGACTGCAATTCCCCCTGCCCCTGTATTTTTATCTGTATCTATATTTATACCAGCATGTGCATGAACCTCCAACAACCCACTCATCACACACACGTTGCATAGTGTGTCAGTAGCAAATCTGATTAGCTTTCTCTGTTGGTTCATTTGGGAGACAGGCAGCAAATCCCATCACCTGCCAAGGCAGGCCATCCCACATCAGCTATGACAAAGTCAAGCCAGATGCTGAGGTCAACCTCCCGCTGCCACCAAACTTTAAATCACAGGCATCTCAGGATACACATGGTATCTCGCTGGCGGTACCTGGCAGTCGATGGAGTCTTTGATGCTGACAGGCACTCCGTAGAGCAAATCCAGCTTCCCTGTCAGCTTCACCTTCTGGAGCTGGGTCTCGCTTTCCTGCAGGTACTCCGTGATGCAGTTGGTTTCTGTGGCGATTTGGAGAGCCTTGGGGAAAGCAGGCAAAGCCCACAGGTGAGAGACAGCCCGCAGCGCTGCACAACAGCCTTCTGTTTTGCAAAGGACACCTGCTTCTTCCCCCTTTTGAACCTCCCCCATCTGGGCAGTCGGTGTCAGGCCAGCCCTTTCTGGTCCTTTCCGAGTCGTTTTCATGCCAAACTCTAAAATACTGTCTGGTCACAGGGGGGCTACAGCACCAGCTGGTGCGTGGTGAAGAGAGGCACTCAGCCCAGCAGAATACCAAAGGCTATTCTCTTGATTGAGCTTCTGGGGTGGCATAAAAAGATAACCCCAAGGTGGGAACCCAGGAGGTGATAAGGGCATTCTGGCAACAGTAGAGAATGAAAGCGGACATCAAAGTCTTTGAGGTTTACCAACGCATCTGGAGATGGAGGGGAGACAACAGCAGCACTGGGGAGAAAACAGCAGTACTCTGCAACTTCCCTATAGCTGTACCTGCCCCTGGGAATGTATGGGCTCCCCTAGGAAGGTATGGGCTCTTCAGATGCTTAGCCTGCTGCTCTGTTTTGTCCCAAACCAGGCTGAGAGCCAAGGCAGCCAGATGCCCAGCTCTCCCCTCGCCCACAGAAAAGCCCAGCACTAACCAGCAAGCCGTGATGGTTCAGCAGCATTTGAACCAGTGTTTGAACCTTGTGCTGGGCTTCTCCCCCCAAAAAACAGCCCCACCATGGGTGAGACGCTGCCCTGCCGCCCTTGCTCCTTACCTTACCCACGTAGGCATAGAAGACGTGCTCCGGAGGGAGGGAGCCATCCCGGAGTTTCTTGGAGAGCTCCGGCAACGGCAGAGAGAGGATGGAGACCACGTTCACAGAAGGATGCTATGGAAAAGGTTGAGCAGGACAGTGACATACCTCCACCTCAGCTGGTGGGGTCCTCCTCTCCCCTTGGTGACCACTGTAACCCATCCAAAAAAATATCTGCCATTTAGGAGCCAAATGCACTATCTTCCTCAAGACTGTGATCCTGCTCCTACCCAATACCAGTGAGCATGGCATGAAATCTGCAGGCCAGTAGTAGCCCAGGCTTTCTAAAACCTTGCCTTCCTGGCCAGATCAGTCTCATCAAGCACCTCCTGTTTAAGACAAAGCTTTTCCTGCAGTCTTGTTCAGGCCAGTCTTGTCCAGGCCTGGGGGAATTGCTCGGTGTAACATTCTCTGTTGAATTACAGTGGGAACCAGCGGCATGATTATAGGCACTGCTCCAGCTAGAAACAAAAGCAGAACTGGTGCCAGTTTTCAGCATCAAGCTATCCTACAGGAAAGCACACAAACCAGGGAGCCCCTCGGCTGACAGCAGACAGGTCAATTTTGGGCCACCAGAGATTTCCTCACCATCTACTTGTCCTGGTTTTGGCTGGGATAGAGTTAATTTTCTTCCTGGTAGTAGCTGGTACAGTGCTGTGTTTTGGATCTTGTGAGAGAATAATGTTGACAACACACTGATGTTTTAGTTGTTGCTAAGTTGTGCTCATCCTAAGTTAAGGATTTTTCAGTTTTCCCTGCTCTGCCAGCAAGCAGGTGCACAGGAAGCTGGAAGGAGCACAGCCAGTGGAGCTGGCCAAAGGGATATTTATACCACAGAATGTCACACTCGGTATATAAACTGGGAGGAGTTGGCTGGGAGGGGCAGCTTGCTGCTCAGGCGTCAGTCAGTGGGTGGTGAGCAACTGCGTTGTGCACCACTTATCTTTTCTTCAGTTTTATTTTTGTTGTATTTCTTTTCACTCTAATAATTATTATTAAATTTCGTTATTATACTTTAGTTCAGTTACTAAACTGTTCTTACCTCACCTCACGAGTTCTACTTTTTTTTCGACTCTCCTCCCCATTCTACTAGAAGGGAGAAGCCGCCAGCAAGCAGCTGCGTGCTGCTTAATTGTGCTGACTGGGGTTAAAGCACGACACTACTAAATACGAGGGGGAAAAAAAAAGAAAAACAAACAAACAAACAAAAAACAAACAAACAAACAAAAAACAAACAAAAAAACAACCAACCAACCAACCAAAACCAACCAAACCCCAAAGCATCCAAGCTCATCGGCCAAGCTGAACCTGTGGACTCCGACCCCGAGCGAGCCCCGGCCCTGCGGGCAGCGGCTGCACTTCGGCCTCCGCTGATAACACGGCTGCCTCGCCCCTTTTCCTGCCGCCCCCCCCGGCGGCCCAGCCGAGCCTCCTGCCACGGGGGAAGGGGCCGGGAAGCTTTCGGACCAGGGGCACGGAGCGTCCCCTCCCCGCCGCCGGTTACCGTTTGCTGGGCGCCTGCGCCGCTGCCCGTTATCCCCCCCCCCCCCCCCCCCCCCGCTGCACCGGCTGCCCCAGGAAGCATTTCCTCCCCATCCCTGCTACGGAGGGGATCGCTGCGTTGCAGGAGGGGGCGGTGGTGGCGCGGGGTGCAAGCACACATCGATTCGGAAAAAAAAAAAAAAACAAAAAACAAAAAACCCTAGGAATTAAATCCCCGCAGCTCCGCATGAGGAGCTGGGATGCCGCTCCAGCCCTGCGAGAGCAGCCCAGCAGCTGCCCCTTGCAGGCAGACACCCCCTCCCCGCTGCGGGGGTGGGGGGCTGGCTCCCCCTTCACCGACCGCTGCCCCGGGGCTACGCCCAGGGGACGGGGCCGGAGTGTAGGAGCCGTGGCCGGAGGCGGTTTGCCAGCCCGCAGCCCGCTCCCCCCGCTGCGGTGCGGGGGGGTGTGTGTGGGGGGGAAAGAGTGGGAACCGCGTCTTCTCGCACCCACCTGCTCCCGAAAGCGCCGCACGGCCGTCTCCATCTGCACCAGGCTCCGCTCCTGCCTCTGCCGAGCCCCCTGCACCCTCCTCCAGAGCCCCCGCCGGCGCCGCCACCGCAGCAGCAGCAGCAGGAGCCCGGCGGCCGAGCCGCAGAGCAGGGCGGGCAGCGGGACCCGCATGGCCGGGCGCCCCGCTCCCCTCGCCGCCTCCCGGGGCACCCGCTGGCCGGCGGGGAGGTGCGGGCAGCGGAAGGAAAAACCTGGCCAGGATTCCCCGGGCGGGAGAGGGTTGAGCTGGCCGGGGAAGGATTTAACCCGTTTGCTGCTCTGGGAGGGGAGGAGGGGAGTTGGGAGTGGGAAAAGCTGCTGAATGAAAACTCAGCCCTCCCTGGGCCGGGCGAGCTCTCTCTGATGAGGTTTATTTATTTTGCCGTTCGCCAAGCGAGGCTTTGATCTCCCTGTAGTTTTTCAGCCTCTCCAGGAATAGTCTTGGCTAGGAGCATCAAAGAAGCCGGGGAGGGTGTCCCAGAGATACCTGGCTCCTCGGCGTTTCCTGAAGCCAAGCAGCTGCGTGGGAAAAAGAAACAATAAATATCCCAGCCTGTCACCAGTGAAGTCCACTTCATCACCAGCAGAGTATGGGTGTGCCTGTACTTTGCTAAGTGCTGTGGCTTCCGACACAGAAATCTGACATCCCTGCTCGGGCAGGGGAGCGCTTGATGGGGCCTTGCGCTCACTTTTGAGGGAAACTCCAAAATAATTTCTTTGTCGCCAGCCCCACGTGGGGTCTGTGCTTAAAATACTTTCACCGCTTGCAAATGTTCATCAGCAAATATTTCAAGCTATCCAGTTTCGATGCTGCCCATAAGGTTGTGGAAAATGTGTTGGGAAGGGCTTGGGATGTCTTCTCCCTCCCCCTGCCTCCCAGCAAAATGAGCTGTGCCCAAGGCACCCCGGAGCAGGTGCTGAGCTAGAAAATGTTGATGGAGTTGCACGCCCCCAGACTTGATTTTTCTAGCGTTATTACTCAGGCCACAGGTTTTACTTCAACCCTCAGGCCATCAGGGCTACTCTGGCAGTGCCCAAGCCTGGCTCCCCCCCCAAAAGAAATTCTGTTCTGTACATACACAGCGTCCTAGGGCTCTTTGCTGAAGGGTGTTGAAGCCCTCACTGAACTCGCGGCCTTCATCTTCTTGCTCTGTATATGAGGATGAGCAGCTCCCTGTTATCTGGTTCAAGCAAATTACATGCAAGAACAGCCTTTTTTGCCACTTCCTTTTTTTTTTTCTTCTTTTTTTCTTCTTCTCCCCCTCTTTCAGACTGTGAGGCTCCAGAGGATTATACAGCAATGCAAGTGTCTGAGGGGCACTGCAGTCCCACATGTGCAGACTACTGGGGGCACAAGAAACTGCGAGGGGAGCGGGGTTGGTGGGATTGCCCTTGCAGCAAGCCAGGAGGATGGGATCAGCTCAGAGTTGGCGGGAGCAAAATTCTGTGATCTCTGTCTCCTCCTCCCTTTCTCACGCTGGAGGCCTCACACTCTCCTCAGCTGCACCGATCTCACCCCACTGCAGCACAATGCCAAAATAGGGCCGTTGCCCTGCAGGCTGTAAAACCAGGTGCACCTGAAGTCTTTTAACAAGAGAACAAGAAAGGTGGTGAATTTTACAGAAACAGAAGTTAAAAACTTAATTCTGGTGGAACACAAAATTACTTCTCCAACCCTCTTCCCCCTTGTTTAAACCCTGATTAAAATCTGTCATGCAGGAACAATTTTCAACTTCTGCAGTTCAGCTTGTCAAAGTGAAGAAAACAAAATATCAGCTTCATGCCTGGAGCACCTGTGTCTCCAGGAGCTTCTGCTGGAGACCCTCCTTCTCCCCTCCCTGGGCAAATGTATGGGGGTGAATAAATGGGGTTGGGGCATCAGACAGGACAGTAGCAAGGCATGGATCTCTGCTGGGCCTGCCCGGCTCCAGGAGGTTAATCCAGGTCGTGGGAAACCCTAAAATGCAGCAGGTGTCTGCTGTGGCCCAGCTGCCTGCAGAGGTGGGACCAGGCAGAGGACAGGGGGTCTCCAGCATAGACAGATGGGGGCCAGGGACACCATATCCAGGAGGATGTGCCTGGGACCACCTAAGAGAGGTAAAATGGGTCTGACTTCACTCCCCACGGGCTGGGGGGGCAACTGCTGGTTTATAGGGCGAGTTGTGCCCTGGTGTTCTTTTGGGACACTGGTGTGTCCTTGCCAGATGAGCAAGTGAAGCTTTTCTGCTGTTGTGTCCATAGGGCTGCCCATACGCTGCAGCAAAGAGGGCTTGAATCTTGGGGTGCTAGAAATGAGAATGGGTCCTGCTCCTGCCCCTCCACTGCCTCCAGGGCTGCAGCCTGTGGCCAATGGAGGCTGAAAGGACCAGCAGGATCCCTGAGAGTTTCATTCCCCACTGCCCACATGATTCCCTGTTTCCACAGAGCTGTGACTGGGTGGGTACCACCACACCCTGGGGATCCTGTAACCCTGTGGTTACCAAAGGAGGGGCAGAAAGGTGTCATCTTCTAACCATGACAGGGCACATGATCAGCTGGACTGGCTCGGGCTGAAGGACCAGTTAGCTCCTGTTCATCTGACACCCGAGCAGACGCCAAGAGTGTGGCGAACACACAGTAATGTTTTCCTTAATCCTGTCTCCTGGCATCCAGAGAACTGTGGCTTCTCAAGCCAAAGGTTAAATTTCAGTGACTAATAGCTGTGTACTTGTGCAGATATTTCTGGCGTGATGCAATCTGATTCTGGCATTCACAGCGTCCCGGAGCAGGGAGATCTATAGTTTATCCACGTGCTATAGGGAAGAGAAATCTCCTGTTTGCCACCCTCAGCTGATTCCATTTGCTGCCCCTTATTTCAGAAGAGGCAATAAGAAATTGTTCGCTGTTCACCTGAGAATTCACACACTTCTGTTCTTCCTTTTCACCCTACTGCTTTTAGACTGTTTCCCAGAGGTTTACAACCTGCTCCTGGCACCAGTCACCCCCTTCCCAGGGTCTGGGCCTCTGGAAGAAGATCCAAGCTTCATTTACAACAGTCCCTCTTGCGTCATTTCTCCTCTCCTTGTGCATTCCTGACTCTGGAGTGGGATTCCTCAGCATGATCTGCAAGAAGGTGAAGCAGCTCCTCTCAGAGCTGGAATGTAAACCCTGCAAGAAGGTTGCTCAGCAGCTCAGGCAAGAGGTGGCGTCACGTGGGAGTGATTCCTTTTGCCCGAGCAATAAAATTGCACATCTCAACCAAGTTGTTCACTCAGTGACAGCTTTGTTCCCTTTGTAGTCACCTCTGCATGTAGAAGATGCTTGTCCTTGTTGTGCTCCAGAGCTCTGCCAGTGGGAGAGCTAGTTGCTCCCAAATCTGCTTCAAGCTGGAGTATGAGTTACCGTGAGCAGATTAAACACATAGTTTATGCCGGTTTTGTGGACTCTGTTCTGAAGCAGATTAGGGAGTGCTCATGTATTTTTATCAGCAGAGTGGAGGAGGAGCTGACCTGGAATTGGACCATGACTTGCAAGTGAACTTGCACTTGAACAAACTCTCTTGCTCCTTGTGGACCTGGCAGCAGTTGCATGCTGGAGAGTAAGGAAAAGTTGAAAAGATCATAGCAGCGGAGTCCCTAGGATGGGGGGACCCTGTGGGAGATCCCTAAGGCTGCTGAAGACACCTTAAGCAAATAGTTTCAGGCTCTGAAAATCTCCTTTCTATACAAATGAGAGAGTGGGGACTTATTCCTAGGTTGCTGTAACACAGGCACTACTAAGTCCAAACAGCTTTGCATTGCATGTGAACATTAAAAAATAAGAAAGGGAAAAAAAAGAGAAAGAAAATTTACGTGCCTAAAATTACTTCTGTAGTTGTTTTTTACACAGCTGAATGAAGATAATTGTATTGGCAATTGTGAGTGATTACAGTATGATCTGCCATCAAAAAAGTTATTTTTTTGAACGCTAAAGGAATTAATGATACATAAAACTGTGCTTAGATTGAGTGCATTCATCAGCAGAAATGCCTCATGCTGGCACTGGTACACTGTAATTACTCCAGCCACTCGGAGAAAAAGATCAGGAGATAGGGAGCTGTTGTGGATACTGCCAAAGATTTACATACATTTACACTCTGAGCAGCTCTGGTGCTCAGAGAGTGGGGAACAGAGCCAGGGCAGAAAAGTTAGTGACAGTGGGACAGGTGTCACCCCCTTCTTTTTCTTTCTTGTCCATCACAGAGCGAAGAATGGGGGGTCATCTCTGTGTTTAAAACTTTACAGGGTAAAGCCAGCATGGGGAAGATAGTTGAATGCTCCTCGGAATAGCAAGGGATGAGCCCAGGCTTTACAGGATGCTGCTTGATGGTGTGTTGAATCGATAAAACCAGTTCTGGGATCACAGGCAGTCATTGCCCAGGCTTGGCAAACCGATGCCGGTGGTGGACATCTGATGTGCCCTGTGCTGTGAGTGAGCCTGTTGTGCTGCCACATCGGTGGGGCTGGGAGAATGGTACATCTCGGCAGGGATGGGGTGAGGAAATTTAGAAGAAATGCTCCCTGGCTTGCTCTGCACCATGTGGCCCTTCAGCAAGGAGACGTGATACTGGGGGAGGATGAGGGGTTTATAGACCGGGGCTTTGCAGAAGAGGCTGTTGCAGGAGTTGTGAGTAAGCTGTGCAGAGCAGCAGAACGCTTTCCATGATGCAAAGAATTTGGAAGGGCTTTTTAAAAAGTTGCAGTCCCTTTATGGAGCCCACAGTCCCTCTCCAGCGACGGACCCGTGCTCTGCTCAAGCGGGGAATCTTAAAATCTTCCAGGATCTCCATCTTCTTGTGCACAGCTGCCTTCTGAGCTGTATCTTGGGCTAAATTAATGAAGAAAGAGGAACACAGACCCTTTCCAGCCCACGGGGGAACACCGGGCTGTGCACTGTGTGCATCTCTCGCTGCATTGAGAAGACATTGCTGAGGGATGCACTTGGCCTTGCGGGTGTGAGCCACCAGAGAGCAGGATTGAGCTGCTGTCCTGGCAGAAGTGTCATGCTCGGAAGCTTTTGCACCCTAAAAACCTGCGCTATATACTCTGAACTTGCAAGGATTGTTGAACGAAGCAGAAAGCCCTTTCCTGGCTCTTTGGGTGATGGGACGGCCCGAGCTGTGATTTGACTTCAGAGGGTTTTACGTGCTCTCATAAAATGATGGGAGTTTTGCTGTTGGTCCGTCTGGGCTGGGTTGGACGTCCCAGCGAGGCTTGATCCTGCAAACTGTCAGTGCTCGAGGCCTGCAGCTCTGCTGCTGCCAGGATTTGTTGCAGTTTGCAGGA